CTATAATGTACAGAGTAATGTAATTATGGATGTGGTTGGCATCCATGTCCATATATACTATTAGATTTTAATTCGGTTGGCGTTGGTGGTTGTAGATATGACCATCAATTCTATGTACTCAGTACGGAGTACGGTGTTGCAAGAATTAGACGCAACAAGAGGCTTAAGTATCGTACAACATACAGAGTACCTTGGAAGACTGGTCCTTTTTGATGGACAAGTGGGCTGTGCATCGAGGAAGAGGAGTCAGACGGGGGCGGAGCCGAGGGGTGAATGCCACTTGGCACCATATGAGCAGAACGTGTTTTCGTCCGACAAACGCAAGCTGAGAACCAACTTAACTAGACCGGTCACAAACGGTGATAGGAGGCTCAAGTGCATGCAGCTCGTATTCGGCACGAAATCATCCAGTTATTATGGTCATTACGGAGTCCACGGGTAGTAACATTATTAATGGTACTCAGGTGCCCAGGTCCAGCTTACAAATGGTTTTGGTTGGACCGTTTGGTTAATTGGGGTACTGGGGGCCATGCCAATAAGGCCCTGATTTTCGCTATGACATGACCCTAGTAATAAGTGAAGTAGGCATAAAAATTAAATAGACGACATTCGAGCAGATATTTCTCTCTTGAGATAAAAAAAAAAAATGTTGCCTGCGGAGGTGAGGCTCTTTTAGACCAAAATTCCAAGGTTCTGGATTTCCATTTTAAGAATTCAGTGGAACTAGTGGAGAAACGGTACGATACCCGCTGAGGGCCACGCGGGAACCACCTACAAGGCGGGACTATTTAATTACCGTTATTTGTTTACCATACAATTACCTTTCATGGCCAATCACATACCGGAGAATGTGCTCAGCCATCGCAATCTATACCATTTTCGTGTTAGCGTCTTCGTCTATCAGGCAGACATCCAACACGCCATGAGCCTCTCTCTGCTTTCTCTTCCTTGATCCGCTTATTCCCCCCATCATCTGTGTTCGGGTTTACTCTTCATTTTCAATTCTCGCTGCCTTCACTCTAAGGATCTCATAGATTTCGTATTTAGTGGGGCTCACCGCTTGGAAAACCACCCCCCAAAATCTTGGACGTTATATCTCATCGGAATCCCAGCACTTAAAATCCGGGGAATTCATCCTGTCTTCGGATATCGATATCGTTGATAAAAAGCTATTTCTGCTGGTGTTCTTGATCCTCTCTGCCCCGAACCTCGCTTTGGAGTCTGCCGACCCCCGCGACACTTTGGATTAGGAGTGCATGTTCATCTAGAGACTATCAGACGCTATCGTGATATATCTCCAGAGTCCCATCTCGGTTCAAGTCTGTCCATTTTAATCATTCTTGGTCGACATCCAAGAGAAGTGGTCCTGTTATATACCAACGGAGATAATCCACATCAAATCGGGGCTTGCATCTCTGACTCGACTGTACGTCACTTCTCGAATCATCTGGACAACTTTCCGGTGAGTCATGCGATGGGCCAATCAGCCGCAATCCACTGTTCCTTTCCTGTCCGAAATATATGCTAAATCAATCTTGGTTGATACAGTTCGCCCAATAATGTCTGCCATCCAGACTGAGCCATCGCGGGTGCACCCGCGCCGTCGGCCCGTCTTAAACACTGCCCTTCCCACCCTGTCAAACGACTCCCCTGACTCTAAGATGCCTTTGAAGAAAGGAGAGACTTTCCATACTCCCACTTCTCCACCATCGAGTGACCGCGACCCTGTCTTGAACATCCGCTCCCTACCTCATCGCTCGGCCACTTCGTTGGAAGCAATCACTGCTGCTGAAGAGCGCATGACTTCTATCCTAGACCGTCTTACTCTGGAACCTACTGAAGACCAGAGCTTGGAGGTCGTCGGTGAGAGTCCTTTGGAGGGTGGGTTAGTTCGCAGTAACTCAAAGTCTATGTCTAACTCCCCGCGTTCCTCAAATGAAGAGGGTCGCAGCATTCCCATACCACTAGACGAGAAAAAGGCCCAACAGCATAGCCACGAGTCCGATAGTGGACTTGGAACCTCTGTCAGTAGCGAAGAGGGGCTCGCAGACTCGCAAAATAAAGGTGGGTGTCACATGCAAAAATGCATTGTCTTTGCTCCTTATTGTTCCCTATTGAGTGCTAACAATGAATAGTGAATGATGGTATTCATGACAAACAATCTGCTATTACAAGCTCTATCTCAGCTTTTGATACTGGTTCGTCACCAAAACGTCAATTGGGCCGAGCTGCCTGTAAACAGATTGAACGTTTTGTGCTTGTTCCTATTTTGAAAGAACCCCGCTTGAAACCATTCCACCCTTTGGTCCGAAGTGTCCCCCAGCGCATTATCAATAAACAGATTGTTTGTTTGCGTGACCTCGAGAAAACCCTATTGTGGTTGGCGCCGGTAAGTCAATGCATTGTTTTATTCAATGGGTTTATGGAGTTACGGTTTAAGCTTATTCTTTTTTTTCTTATTTAAAGAACTCTGCCACTTCTCGGAATTCTTATCTCAACTTTTGCGAGTTCACAATCCAGTGCTTGCATACGTCGACTTCGCATCTCAACGATCGTGATCAAAGACTACCAGCCGATCGACCTTACACTAACGGATACTTCCTTGACCTTGTCTCACAGGTCCGACGATACGCAGCAATGGTTCGTGCCGAACGCGAGCGAGTCCAGGCGACTCAGGGCTCCGAGTCCAACAAGGAGTCTATAACTCTGATGTATGTGTTATCCCGTTTGGTTTAGACACGGAAACCTAACCAAGTCCAAGTAGCACCGAGAAGGCTACCCTTGAAGGTGGTCTATCCAAGAATGGGAAGCCTGCTGAACTTGTAGTTATGCAAGATGGAAAGCCAATCTCTATGGCCACAGGAAAGCCCTACGAGGCGGATGTTTCTGGTGCTCCTAAGCGCACTATTACCCTTGACGATGCGGTCGATGAGGGCGTTGAGCGCTCTATGGCCCGCCGCAAGAAGGATGCTCCTCCCATGAATATCAACCAAAAGTGCGCCGACTGCGACAAGGTCTTCAAGCGCCCCTGTGATCTGACGTAAGTTGTCCTATTCATTGAATCGAAGTATTAGAATGGGAATTCTAATCCGTTCACAGGAAGCATGAAAAGACACACACTCGTCCCTGGAAGTGCGAGTTCTCTGACTGCAATTACCACACCAAAGGTTGGCCTACCGAGAAAGAACGTGATCGTCACATGAACGACAGACATTCAGACAAGCCTACCCTCTTCAAATGCCAATTCCACAAATGCCCCTATGCTTCAAAGCGAGCCAGCAACTGCAAGCAGCACATGGAAAAATCCCATGGATGGGTTTACGTTCGATCCAAGAACAACGGCCGCAATGGCAGTAAGCGAGGCTCTTCTGCGCAGGCCACTCCTCAGACTCCCAGTGTGTCTACTCCTGCTTCGAAGACGACCGATTTTGCGTCTCCAATTCCTGGCCCCAGCCCTTCCCCCAGCGACCAGGCCTACAACTGGCCTGAGAATCCCCAATTTAACTTTGCCGACCCTCCTCCGCTTGCTCATGGGGAGGATTTCCCCCTATTCGGAGAAACATCGCCTTATCTGATGACCGATGTGAACTCTTTCCCCACTTCGGTGAACCTGAGCGGCTTCCAAAGTCAATTTGAAGCCGGTGACCCGAACGGCTTGATTCCGGCCCTCGAAGTGCACCGACAGTCCATGAACTCCATGTCTATCCCATCAGCTGAATCGGTTCCCGACCTGATGGGACCTGTGTCATTTGATGGATCTCCACTCACCGGGACTGAAAGCATCAACTTTGACCTGGATTGGAGCAACCTGGACTACCCAACCAACGAGGACTACACTGCGATGGCCGCGCAGCTCCCCCATGGTCCTTCCCTTGAGGTGTTGAAGGGTTATTCGAATGATTACGAGCAAATGAGCCTCAACCAGTGTTCCTACGATGTCTCTGGAAAGCCCTCTGGCCTCTCTCCTGGTGCGCAGGGCAATGCCATGTTGTACTCCCCGGACTCTTGTAACGTCGGCGACACTCTTTCTGAGCGCTACGAATACGGACTGCAGGCTCAAGCGCGTAACGACTTCACGCTTTACAACCAGAGCGCTCAGATGGGTAGTGGCCCTCAGCCCATGATGCACACTCCTAGCGACCACTCAGCTCAGTACCACCAGGCTCAGCAACAAATGTTCCCCTCTATTGAGCAGGAGCGCATTTTGCATGGCCTGCAGCCCTGGAATGGCCAGCAACCCCAGGGACACTACCTCCCTCGCGACATGGAGCTGGAATTCATGAAGTAAGAGGGTGGGATTCCTGGGGGAGCTTTTGCAACACACTCTTCTCAATTCTTCTTTCTCAAGCGAATTTAATGTTCTCAGCGATGGTAATGCAGGTTGTTTTTATTTCTTTGATCTATCTCAATTTATCTACCAAATAGCATGGTTAAAATCTAGTCCTTTTGTTTCTATCATATTGAGTATAGGAGTTTTGTATTCGTCTACATGGTCTTAAGAGGTTTGAACAATAACTAAACAAAATATATCCAAATGAGGGAAACTACATCGCTTAGAATCAATAATAGGAGCATCTGGAACTAACCTTGTAGGCAACAATTTAATCATTCTTGGCGCATTTGATCTACAATATACGTCAAGTCAGATATCATGATAATAACCTTGGAAGATACAATAGAATAGGTTAGGCTGAGCTAAATAAAAAATGGAATAGTAAACAACAGCCTTATATGGCCGGTGACGACATCATTTTCTCTCCCGACTCACACTGCTCCACACTCAGGCCCTCCCATCTTTGTTCCCACATCTTCCACGAAACAGAAGCATCGTGGGTCCAGTACTGAACTGTTTGGCTTTGCCTAGCCCTTGTAGCGCCTTTCTAGGCAGACACGTTCTGTACTTCCACAGTTTCTTCATATCACCTGGACACTGGCCGTGCGGTTCAATCCCCTAGGGACTCAGCTTCCCTCTCAACTGAGCAGGATCACTATCCCTCAAAATGCCAGAAACACAATTGCCTGATTCCGCATTCCCCAACGGCAAGGGCGATGTGGGTGCAACCCCGCCAGGTCAGATCCTGACGGGCAAGCAAGAACACTGTAAGTTAAAGGAGATGATGATTTTCTGATTTCACAGTTGCTAACGTGTATGTCACTCACGCAGATCTCAAGCGCGAGCTCATCTCCCGTGAAGTCCGCGACGAAATCTTCGAGCTAAATTCCCCCACCGCGCTCCAGCGATTCGGCGCCCCCTTTAGATCGGACTTCGGTGAGGTCGCACCGGTTGACTCGGAGCTGCCTATTCTTCGGTATATTTTTGTTCACCACGTTCGGAATTTCCCATTTCTTGATCAAGCGCGCGAAAAGGAGTTTTGGCAGGATAAGCTACAAATCGTGGGTCTTTTGCTTCCCTGAATGGAAATTGTGGAGGATTGTGGCTAACATTTGGGGAATATAGTTCTTGGAATCGTTTGCTAATAAACATGTCTCGTCTTCGGAGGATCGACTGGAGGAGACGAAGCGCCGGAAGTTGGCTCGGAAATGCGAGAAACTCGTGGAGCTGATGATGGTTTCGGGTGTGCCGACCGCGTCGGGATATGAGGAGCGTATTCAGTTCTCCGAAATGGAGATCGTCGAGCGTGGTGCTCAGGAATCGGGCCTGCTGTTTAATATGCCCGAGGGTAATTCTATTAATGGTTGGGATGTGAATGTGGCTGCTGTTCGGACAACCTCTGTCAAGCGGACAGTGCGATACCATCAACATGCAGTGAGTTTCATTAATTCTGCAAATCGCTTTAATTTGGGAGTTAGGATTATTTGCTGACAAAATCTGTTGTAGGAATTCGTCATTCGAGTTCGTCGCCACGATAAGCAGGAGGTTCATATTGGGAGGAGATATGGAGAGTTTGTTAAGCTTCACAGGAGGCTGAGGACTGAGCTGCCAGGGAAACAATTACCACCTCTTCCTCGTAAGAACAAGTCTTCCACCTCGAGCTGGTGGGGTTCCAGTGCAGATGATGACGCTTCGTCTCTTTCTTCGCTCTCGACATTGGACACGAATGCCCCCGAGGATCGGCTCTCTGCGCCAACTCTTACCCCAGGCGGCGTCCGGCGATCGATCTCCCGAGGATCATTGAGATCAACGAAATCACCGCGTGTATCAACGAGCGACGTCTCGAGGGCCACTGTGCTGTACCGGGAGGAGCAACGTGTGTCGCTGCGCGCGTTCCTGCGTACTGTACTGCAAAACAAGCGCATTGCAGAATCCAAGGCCATGGAAGAATTCTTGACTGCTCGACCCATCGACTTGAATGAGGAAGAGTTGATTGATGTCCAGAGACGGAAAGACATGGATGCTGTGAGGATCGAGGAGCAGAAGAGATTCTATGAGATTGCTAGGCAGCGAGCTGCAGAGCTGGATGTGTACATGGAGCGGTTCCGGCGGGATATTGTGGAGAGCAGTAAGTCACGAGCTCCTTCCAGCACAACATGGTTTGCTAATCTGATTTGGATTCTAGATGGCCTGACAAAACTGTTTGCCGAGATACGGGAGAAACCCTCAATTCAGGATCTGAGCCCGCAATATCAGAAATTTGCTGAGTGGCTTCGCATTGAGTATGTTGTTTGTTTGCTGAGTGTGTTGCTGTACTAACATTGAACAGAGTCGCTGCAACAATATATCACCTGTTCCTTGCAGAGGATAACTCCCCTGAACTGTTTGCACAGGCGAAGAGAATCCACGGCCTCGTTCCGTACACGCTAATGAAGAATGTGATTCGCATCGCCAACCCTGCTGCAGTCATGTCTGGTGTTCTCGACCTCTTCATGGCCCAGCCTTTCGGCTCACGGTCACTTTTGCAACGCATCTTCTCATTAACACTAAACGAAAGTATTAAAGATTTCCAAAGATCGATTGATTCTCTGGCTTCAAAGGTTGGAGACACAGTTCTCACTCAGAAGCTCAAGAGCTTCGCGGATTCTGCGGAAGAAATCAAGAATGTGATCCGAGAAGAGGCTGTTTCCGACGATGTTGACATTATTGTGGCCATCCTTCGCTCCGAACTATTATCACCCGACCTCAACTCGGAACAGATAGGCAAGGTGTTCAACGGCTATGTGGCTTGGAACTACGCTGTGGAGAATGTAGACCTCGAAATGCAACAGGGCGCCCAATGGTTTGCTCACATGAAGCAGCTTTTGAAACTCTATACCCGCCAGCGCGACAAGGCGATGATGCTCGGCATTGTCGAGGAGCCAGTCACACTGCAGCTCTTCCGCGATCTGTTCACTATCTTCTACGAGCCTCTCGTCAGGGTCTACAAATCCGCCAACGTATACAACAGCATTACGGACTTTGCTCATTTTGCCGACGATGCTATTAATGTGATTGAGAGCGCCCAGCGCCAGGATGCCTCTGCCGATCCGAACCAAACAGTACAGGCCTTCATCGATCTGTGCGCTCGTCACGAGGCCAACTTCTACAAGTTCATCCACGAAGTGCACCAGCACGATAACGGCCTATTCCAGTCTCTAATGGGTTGGATCGAGGAGATTCTCGATTTCCTGCGCAATGGCCCCGCCGGAGGCAAAATGGACATTAACGCTTTGTTCCAAGGAGCTGCCGGAGTTGGCCAAATTGACAAAGACCTTGCTCTCACAGAAATCAATCAGCTTATCAAGTGGCAAGAAGATCGGAAACGCTGGCATCTGAACAAAACTCGCCAAAAGATGGCTGCTGAAGGTACCTCTGGGGACACTATTCCAGGAGCCACGACCTTTAAGGGCAGTGATTTCGGTCTTGATGAGGTATGTATTCCCCTTACTTGACTTCAAAATGAATTTGGATTTTAAGGCTAACCCTGGGTTTACAGGCCGATCTGGAGGACCTCACTATCTCGGATGAAGCATCTGATGCCTCTGACGAAGACACTGGAGATGAGGACATGGACGATCCCATCGCCGTAGAGCGCCGCCGGCGGACAAAGAAGCAGGATCAACTTCGCCGTACCGCGGGTGAACCCATCAAGCCCGAGGTTACGGAGATTCTTAAGCTTGCTGAACCGTTTGGTGTCATGTTGCGGCACGTGCTTGCTGATTAGGTGCCGACGTTAGAATTGTTTTGCTGCATTCATGATACCGCCATAGATACGAATTTTCCCATTTGATTCCCATTATGTGATTGTGTGTCGCACATCGATCCGTTCTGGGGTTGCTCGCTGGCTTCTACTTGCTGGCTCATTGCTGCACCGAAGGGGTTGGAGGAAGGGTTAGATAGATATAGCGAATGATACCTAGGGACCGCACGTCAGATAGGTCATGATAATTGAGACGAGAATATTCATGATGAGTTGCAACTGCCTATGTATCTTTGTAGCGCCTCTACTACCTGCTGATTACCATTCTCCGATGCCACCTCTAATGGCGTCTTCCCATCTGTATCGCCTAAATGTGGATTAATTCCATGCGCCTCGAGCAATAGCTCTACAACACCTATGTGACCATAAAATGCAGCATTAAACAGCGGTGTCTGGCCGTTCTCATCACGAGAATTGGGATCAGCCCGTCTAGACCCAGTCAACAGCCGCCTGACAACCCCCTCATGGTTCTTTTCTGTTGCAACCCCCAACGGGGTAGTCCCATGCATATCAGCAATCTCCAACCCAACCCTCTCACATCCAACCAACAAGTCCACAATCTCCTCGTGCCCATTCTCCGCAGCAACAAACAAAGGCGTCTGCCTCTTCCAGTGCGTCTGCAAATTAGGATCCGTAACCTCCCACCCCAATAAGAACCGTACAACATCCACCCGCTCCGCCGAAGCCGCAATTGAAAACGCTCCCCGCCCATATTTCTGCCCATCAGCGTTGGGATCAAGCTTCTCCCCAAAATACCGAACCAAATACCGCACAATATCAGCATGCCCCATGATAGCCGCATAGAAAAACACATGCTGGCAATGTGCAGTGGCATCGTCGCCCTCGAGAATCAACCGCAAATGCTTAGCAAGAAGTAAGCCTACATCGCCGTCTGGGTCGCGCGCAGCACGGCTGAGCGGTGTCCACCCCTGCCGATTTGGCACGCGTGGGTCCACTCTCTCGTTACAGAGAAGCTGCGTCATCATCTTGGGCTGGTGATTGACGGCAATCATAAGTGCGGTATCGCCTGTCTTATCTTGCAAGTTGACGTCTGTACGGTCGTCGTTCAGCAGGGTCTGCACTATGGCCGAGTGGCCCTCTTTGACGGCCCAGGACAGTGGCGGGCGGATCCATTTTCTGTCGCGGGTGTTTGGGTTTGCTTCGTCGTTTAGCAAGAGGAGTTTGAGTACTGAAATGCTATTATGTAGCGCGGCTAGCATTATTGGCGTGCAACCTTTTATTCGCGGGTCTGTGTCTGTTCTTAAGTGAATGTCGAAGCCTGCGGAGAGAGATTTCAGGGCTGTTGATGGGTTGTCGGTTGTTGAGGCCCAAAAGAGGGATTTTGGATTTGGTGAGCTTGCATCGCGCTTATAGAGGGTGTTGTTTAGGAGGTTGTAGGTTGTTATATTGGTGCATGTGAATGCATTTAGGTCTGATAATAGGAGGAAATCGGATATTGCGAGATATAGTTCTTTAGGGAGGGTTGAGAGTGGCCCCATGTCGATGCATAGTGTATGCATTTGAGATCTTTAGAATGGCGAAACATGAGGGGGGTAAAAGGACTTTGACGTGGGGTTAAGCTTATATATGTGGAGATCAGCCTCAACTGTGAGGTCATTGGGGATTAAGATATAGATGAGATTGTCTCGGATTATTCTATATTCTATTTCTAGCTCATAATCCCCCATTGACTCCATAAAAAGTCTTAAAAGTGCCAAGACATGGATAAGATAAGCAAGTTTCCATGGCGACAACGTTCATCTTCCCTCTTGAACAACATCTGGGGAAGAACAGTCGAAAATGTCATCCCCTCATAAATACCCAGGCTCAACAGGGACCACATCGCGGAGTCTCCGTGGCCTCTTCAAAGATGGCATTTGGTGTTGTAACTGCCCAGAGCGTCCGGCTGCCATCCGTCGTCAAACAAAGAAGCAGGGAGTAAACCTTGGGAAATGGTGTATGTGAAATCTTGCTTAGGCTTTCAAGCATAGAAACCTATCTTTATATTAATTTAAAAACTGACCTGGAAAATAGTTTGGACTTGCGCACAACCTCCACATCTCAAATGTGGCTTCTTCCTGTGGGCAGATGACGCTACAATACGAGAGCAAGAAGTTGTTCTTGCCAACTCTCGATCTGAACCCGACCCTCTCTTGCTCACCCCATCCAGGCGCACTACAGGACGTATGAACAACGGGCTACTCACTCCACAGACCGAGCGCAGATTCATCAATACTCCGCAACACAATTTCAAGTCGCCTCCAAAGACAGCTAAGGCCAGAATGATCTCAGAAGCGTCCAATGATTTTGGCTGGAACGACGACTCAGATGATAACGATGAGCTTGTCAAGGCACTCTCTTCTAGCCAGACCGAGAGCTTCATCTCACAACCCAATTTCCATCCCGAATCTCCATTCAAGACCCCCGGCACCTCCATGGTGACCTCACCCGGCAAGCGCAAATTGGCAGAAGTCACAAATGATAATCCTTCGACCGACCGATCTGCACCCGCGACGCCATTCTCATCCCGCTCTTCCCGCTCCTCTCGCACCGAGGTGTTTCCTCCCTCGTCTGTGGAGTTATGCATGACACCCACGCCTAGCAAATACAACGATGTACTATCTGCAGACTCGAAGTTTGACACCTCAGATCTTGCAAAAAGTCTACTCAGTATTTTGGAAAAACATAGTGTTGTTTTGCCAAACAAAGCGCTTGATGAGGTCGTGTCGCTGCTTAATCGGCAGGACTTGAAGACACAGGGCATTATTCGTGGACGGGATATGACGAGGGTAGCATTAAAGAAGAAGGATGACGATATCAAGAAGCTGCAAGACCGTGTTTCCGACCTGGAGGCTCAGAGGGAACTCGATCGTTCTCTCATTGAGGGAATGAAACCCTATTGAGGGGTCAATCCGACTGCATACGCGGCAGCACACTACCAATGATGACTTCGGAGATTCGCATTCGGATGTCCTGGCATACCTTTGGCTCAGTATGGGCCACCTATCCCACGAACTGCTACGATGATATGATACCTTTGTGATCTGCGATTGTTATGTTTTCGTCCCCACATTATGTAAAGAAGGGAAGTCATGAACCTGTTTCATCAGCACACAAAAATGCATAATCAAATGAGAAAATATGATGAGCTTTATCAGCCTACAAATAATTTCACAACCCCACGACCCCCGAGCTTTGGGCCCGGACAAATAAAGCCAGACACTACTTCTAGACTACATTTTGCTGTCTGTGCAGATATCCCCCGAAACGATTACCAAAACATCAATACCCGTTATTAGCATTTCACATGCACATGAGCTTTAGGATTCACGCGTGGACTTATAGATCTAGATAAGAATGTCACGTGGCCGATAAGAAATAAATTATTGCGCCGCCATGCGCCTCGAGCTTCGAGCAAGGAGACAATCCGTAATAGGCCAAAAATAAGCCCTCTCTATCTCCAATGAAACCAACAGATGAGCCTTCCAGGCAGGCTACTCTTAACGAGACCCCCGCCATGTTCCGACCCCCTGTGAACCGTGCCATGCGGACACTCGACCGGTCATTTTTCCGAAGAAATGTGCCCCTCTCCGTCGCCCAGGTTTTTAAACCCAGCGATATTTCGAACGTGCGGAAGGATTTGACCAAGAGCCGCGACCTCCTGCTCTTGCCGCGCATTAGCTCTGTCCGTGAAGTGAAGGATCAAAATGGCAAGCTCTGCAAGGCTATGTTGTTGCGTGAAGACCTGAAGGTTGATGGTATGTTTATTGGGCTTGAATCAACTGTACATTTGATTAGACTCTAATTGCAGTTTATAGATAAGGCAACATGGTCGCCTACTATCAATGAGCTCGTAAATAAGGGTACGGTCGCCCTGGGACCTTATGAATTGCTATTGGAATACGACCATTGGTCATACGGTATGCTTGCTATCATTGTTTTATCCTCAACTAAGCATTCCATGCTAACATCCTAACAGCTGAGATCATCTCATCAATTCTACCCGAGGACATGATGGAAGAGATCCCTCAAGGCTTCACTCAAGTGGGGCACGTCTGTATGTTCGTCTGAGTCACTGGCTATGAACCCAATACTGACGAAACAGTGCATTTAAATCTCCGCGCCCAATACTTGCCATATAAGCACATAATTGCCGAGGTTCTTATGGACAAGAACCCGACCATTCGCACCGTCATCAATAAGACCGAAGATGTCGGCTCACACAGCCAGTTCCGCACTTTCCCATTTGAACTGCTGACAGGCGAGAATGACCTTAATGTCATTCAGCACGAGCAGGACTGTGAGTTCCGGTTCGACTATGCCCGTGTCTACTGGAATAGCCGCCTGGAGACCGAGCATCGCCGCCTGGTCGAGAAGTTCGAGCCTAGCGAAATGGTCTGCGACGTGATGGCTGGAGTCGGTCCCTTCGCCGTGCCAGCAGGCCGCAAGAAGATCTTCGTCTGGGCGAACGATCTCAACCCGCATGGATTTGAAGTTATGCAAGATGCTATCTCACGTAATAAGGTCCAAGATTTCGTTACTCCTTTCAATCAGGATGGTCGGGAATTTATCCGTTCCTCGGGTCGATCACTGCTTGCGGCGAAGCCTCTTACTGTCACTATCCGCCCCAAGATCGGCAGAGAGCAGCAGCGTAAGATCGCACAAGGCAAGGGGGGGCAGCTCCCCGCGCCGAAGGTTTACACCCGTCCTACCGTTGTCAATCACTATGTTATGAACCTGCCTGCTACGGCCATTGAATTCCTTGATGCCTTCCCGGGGCTCTATGCTGGCGAGGAACAGTTGTTTGCGCCCAACACGCAGCAAAAACTGCCCATGATCCACGTTTACTGTTTCTCGGGAAATTCAGATAACGAGGTGGATGATCACATCGATATCTGTGAAAGAATATCTGAGCGTATCGGGCACAAGATCACTGTGGATGACTGTGTGGGGGGCAAGGGTAATCAGGATGTGGAGCTTGCCATTTATAATGTGAGGCTGGTTAGTCCCAAGAAGCAGATGTTCTGTGCTAGCTTCCGTCTGCCGCGGGAGGTCGCTTTTCGGAAGGTATAGAGTTGCATAGTTGCCTGTGAGGCTTGGGACATGTTCCATGGACAAAAATAAGATTCCACTCTAAGAAGCAGCACCTATATTACGTAGTATCGATAGGAATAGGTAAATATGCCTGATGCTTTTACATAGTTTCTCATCGAAATTTATTGTTTTATTTCTAGAGGGGACGGCGGTAACGGGTTCACCGCCTTGAAATGCCGGACATGAAACTGCAGAGATCAACGGCGTGCCAAACAAGTCACCTCATCTTCTTTACAGATACACGACCTCGACGAAGTATCTCCAGGCAATCCTTTTTCACTAATACATTCGATTCACATACACTACGTTGCATACCCAGACCTATAAAAACTCGCCCCTCAAATTGCACAATGAGCGTCCAACTTCCCCCACCCACACATCGCAAGCGCGCACTACCGCAAGGCGAGCTCGAAGCCGCCTCCACGCTCAAGCTGGGCGCTGACCAACACACGCACACCCTTTCCCTTTCAGAAGCACGACTCGTTATCCACAAGGTGTTGGAGAATAAGCGACGTGGCGGCAACAAATACGAGGAGCCGGAGTAAGAGGACCATGGATCGGATGTTGAGATCGAATACTTACCTGCAATGTCTTCTACAGAAACTTGACCAAGACATTGGATTATCTGGATGTCTTTGCTCGGTTTAAGGATGAGGAGAACATTAAGGCAGTCGAGCGCCTTCTGAACTCTCACACGGAGCTGGAGATGTTTGAGCGGTCGCAGTTGGGTAAGTTTTTGAAAATCCGCCAAGTTCTCCCATTTATACTTCCTGGGCGAAAGATTCTCAGATTTACTGACTCGGGTCTTCTGAATAGGTAGTCTGTGTTGCGATAATGCCGAGGAAGCCAAGTCTCTCATCCCCAGTCTTCAAAACAAGATCTCTGATGGAGACTTACAAGAACTGTTGGATGAGTTGACCAAGTTGCGAAATTTCACGGAGTAAAAAGCATGTCAATAGTGGATGTCTCATTTTTAGGAGCTTGGAGTTTTGAAGGCGTTTTTTTTTTTGTTTTTCCCGAAGATTGGACCATCTGTACAGGGGGGGAATTGGTGATTCATAGAAACCTTCCCAGACTGCTGTTTTCAAGTCCGTGCCCTGTTTGCCACCGTAGTTTTTTTAACGGGGAAGGCGTTCTTGACTCCGGTTCCACTTTCTAATTCACATGTGTCTAAAGAAGTACGGGTGTATTACAAATTATCCATGGATAGTCCCTGTACTCCGTAGTAAAAGGTAGACTTTTTTTTTTTCCTCCACACCCCACAGTTTCTTTTTTTGCATTTCTCGGGCACTACTGCGACTTTAGTATGGGACAAACTATGATTGGTTGAATAGTAAAACCGTTATCATTGAATGATGATTGGTTCTATATGATCTTATGGATTCTTTGACCAGTCAGAAAAGCCATCTGCAGTAAGATAATCCTTGTAAAAAAAAAAGGAATTTAAAATCGATATATTTAAAAATATAAAAATGAATTCTTATTATCTAACTATTTCATTCTACCTAGGTATAACTACCCTTTATAGAAGAAAGTGACGCTGACCTAATGATATTCAGTACGTAATAGTATGTCTGGTTTCAGAACCAATCAGCAAGGGTCAGCTTATCTTTTGACAATTAAAGTGTCATAATTCTCAAGTCAACTTGTTTAAAATTGTGGTTTTTCTTACGAGAAAAAAGAGCTGATCGTCTTGAAAAAGTACAATTTTCGGTAACTCTCCTATAGTTTATATTACATATTCAATAGATCGATGTCATCACATTTCATTTCCCTTTTCTTCTTCATCTTCTAAGGAATGACGGAGCGAACTATTCGGCATCTCATCCTGCTGCAATCACTTGCAGGTTCATCTGCTTGATCAGCTTTCAAGGTTGGATAATATCAACTCATTTCCGAGATAACCAACTTTTTTTTTTCTGATAAGCCCGTATGTCTCTTATCACCATGATCTCATCCAATGACTGACCCTGTATATTTAGAGATCTCTAGATTGCGGAGAGGGACACGTCTTGGATATTCCGTGAAGACCCTATCACTTTTTTGCTATCTACATTCCTATTTGCCCAATTATCGTGCCTGAAGGGTTCCGGTCCACATGGCCACCGTTATCACTATCCAGCCTTCCGGCTATTCTCAAGCCCATTCCCCTGATCTCCGCCGAAAGACGGCCTCGACCCCGACGCTCTCCCCATCCCCCGTCTCCGTCAATTCGATCCTTCCCCGCGTACGGAATGGAGCTAGCTGTGACGCTTGTCTCCGCAGAAAGAGCAGGTGTGCCATGAACGAAATGGTCAATAAATGCTATTCATGCGATTTTCATCGCCAGGAATGTACATTCAGCCTCACAGCACAACCCGAGCTTCCATCCAAGAAGAGGAAATTGGACGACGGGCCGGAGCCCACAGAGGCAATTAAGCGGTATGGACTCCCAACCGGCTGGGGATACACTTCAGCTCCATACGTTGAGAGAAATTATGCTCTAACAATCGCCAGACCCTCGACAATTCAACCGGAGCATTCTATCCCGGAGACCGAGTCTCACCTGCAAGCAGTGAACATGATTCGCCCCGGGTTCTTTAACCAGTCAACTCAACATATTGGCATGACCACTGAGTTAGAGCCAACCCTGCTGGAGTATCTTCCACTCGACCAATATGACGAATGCACAGTTTCGAACTCACGTGTGCGGAGGTGTGCCGACGATGGCACCTTCATGCGCGTTGTCGACACCGTGCCTATCGGTGACTCACAGGGCATGTCCCTTGATGCTGTTGAAAGCATGGTCGCTCCCTACGGCTCAACACTGATCGAAAAGTTCTTCGACCATGTACACCCTTCGTTCCCGATTTTGATAGAGGAGGTGTTCCGCCAATCATACCGTGAACGCCGTGGCCTCTCACCGCTACTTCTCGCCGCCGTCTATGTATTGACATTGAAGTTCGTTGACGTCGGTATCAGCTCGCAAACTGCGCGCAAACCCGATGCCGCAAGACTAGAGGCTTCGGCCTTGAAGCTGCTGATGGATTCTTTGCAATCCCCCAGTGTCTCGACTATCCAAGCCGGGCTCCTGCTGACACAGAAATCGACTCTCGCTACGGCATCATTAAACGGTCAGCTGGTTACGGCTGCTTTCGAGCTGGGCCTACACCAGGACTGCACGAACTGGCGTATGGAGACTTGGGAGAAGGGCCTGCGAAAACGCCTCGCATGGGCTTTGTATATGCAGGATAAATGGTCGTCACTGGTGCACGGCCGACCCTCGCATATCTTCGCTTTCAACTGGACGGTCAAGGATCTCGTGGAGCAGGACTTCTCGGATGCCTTTGCCTCCGGCACTGACTCCTCGCACGATGAAACTGCCGTCGGCCACGGTCCTCTTCTCTTCTGTCACATGGTCGCATTAACAACCATCCTCTCCGACATTCTCGACCGCTTCTACACATTGCACGCAATCGAAGAGTTCTCCGCCGCCGGAAACCAGCGTACACGCATGATCTTAGAAAAAGCCAAACCGGCTCAGATCCGGCTCAAAGACTGGTTCTCCTCCCTTCCACCGTCCCTCAAGATGGAAACATCAACCGGTGAACTCGTCGAAACAATAACAGACGAGCACGCCCGCAATGGCGCCCTCCACCTGGCCTACTTTGCCACTGAAATAACTCTACACCGTTGCATCGTCCGCTCCCTCCTCGCCGAAGGCACAGACCAGTATCTCGCGCATATCTGCCGCTCAGCCGCGAAAACGCGCCTCATCTCCGCAATGGACTTTGTCAACCGTCTCCGCCCTGCTCACCTCCGCTCTTTCTGGCCCGCTTCCGCACGCACCAACTTCTCCCTCATCGGCTCTTTCGGCATGCTCCTTCGCATCACCGCCCCGACAAACGAGGAGGCAGACTTTTACCGCGTCCGCTTGTGTGAATACCGCTGGACTCTAGGTGTCAGCCACAAGAACGCCGAATTCATGGGCTTTGCCTTGCAGAGTCTCGATAATGCTACCGCGCTACATAAGCACGTCCCCGCAAAGCCGGGGATCGCGGAGCTCATGGCGTCATCTAGCAAGAATGCGCAGCCGCGTATGCCGACTGCGTCGATCGGCTCTTATGATGATGCTATGATGGAGGCCGGCACGGGGGCTTCGAGCTCGGTTATGTCGGGGCTCGCTTCGCCAGCTACGTCTGTTAGTGACATGGAGGATGGGGAAGCCTCCATGGCACCTCTGTGATCACGTCCACCTTTTTTTTTTCCCCCTTCTCTCCTCTTCGCCTTGCTCCATATATTTTCTCAGATCCGCCCCGACCTCCCATTTTACCTCATTTTTCGACCTTTTAGCTCGACTCTCCTTGACGTCTTCTCATGACTCCTCTTCTACCACGGCGTTTTTGGTTCTTGATTTTCTGGGATGAAGCGCTTGACCTTTCTTGAAATTATTGATTATGGGTGCATGTACCCCGTGCACCAAGTCTGCTTGCACCGCAGCGGACTACAACCTGTTACTTTGGACAACGGAATTACCCTGGCTTTGCAATATCTCGATTGGACCTTATTATGCTTTGTGCTTGCTTTTGGTTTTCCTTTTCGCCAACCTTATAGACAGGAATCATGTACATAGATTGGGTGATGAATTATGATTTTATTCTTTTGATGTCAATGGCTGTGGTAAACGACAGTATAGTAATGATCTCTTCGGAAAATGGATATATTAATGACTCTAAGGAGCTAGAGAGTTAGATCATATATATATTATGTCTATGGTCACAACGTAGTGCAAGTGGGTTTAGTCCATTTTAGGCTAATATTTAGATCGAGTCGAGAGAGATCGCGTCGACACTTTCCTAGCAACAGTCTTCCCCGGCCCCCGGGTGATAGTCAACACCCGTGGACTCGACATGACTCGAAACTCTTTACTAAATCATTTTACCTTAGGTTACCCCTCACTAAATCAGAGATAAATTCTCTTAATCTTTCTCAAGGTGAAAACCCATAACTTGCAAGATTTCCTTCAAGCCATTCCAAATTCGCCATGAACGCATATCGGTTCAACAACGCTGAAACTGGCCTCCAACTGGAGCATATTGATGTGCCGCAGGCTTCTCCAGGCGAAGTTCTCATCGCTGTCAAAGCTGCTGGCTTGTGTCATTCAGACTGCCATATCTTGAAAGGGAATGACTGGATTGGCAAACGTCCGATTACCCTCGGCCACGAAGTAGCCGGGACCATCGTGGCATTGGGTGATGGGGTATCCAACTTTCGGGTTGGCGACAGAGTCGCGGTCGCTTTGATTGCCCACCCAGTAGAACAGATGCAATTGTTTGCAGCGATCGGACTCGGCTTCGATGGGGGTTTTGCCGAATATGTCACAGCTCCCGTTACACATATCGTTTCGATTCCAGACAATGTCAGCTATGAGCAAGCTGCCATCGCCACTGACTTGATCTCGACGGCGTACCACGCTATTCTCGCCGAGGCCAATGTAACCGCATCGACCACGGTTGTCGTCGTGGGACTGGGCGGGTTGGGACTGAATGGACTTCAGATTGCGGTACTTCAGGGAGCCCGTGTCTATGGAATAGACATCGATCCCAAGAAGTGCGCCGCGGCCAAAAAGCTCGGAGCGATTGAATGTTTCGCCAGCCTTGATTCCATGAAGGAAATGACAATTGATGTTATTGTGGATTTCTTTGGTTCGAGCGCCACTCTATCCAAGGCGATTACAACCGTCAAGGTGGGAGGGCGCATCGTGGCTGTAGGCTTAGGTGAACCCGAGACCACCTTACCGCTTGTCAGTTTGGTCAGTCGGGCGATTGAATTGAAAGGTTCGATTGGGGCCAGTTTGGAGGATTTGCATTCCTGCCTGGCCCTCATTGCGTCTGGAGATATCTGTCCTGTTTTGGAATATCTACCCTTCACTGACCTGATCGAGGGTTATCATCGCCTAGAGCGAGGTGAAGTTAACGGACGACTTTTCACAAGACCTGGTTTGAGTGAAAAGAATACCCTCACCCCAGCTTGACTACGATATTCTAGTACTTTCGAGGATGACCTCGCTGGGGGTGGGATCTCTTCACGTACTTAAGCCCTGATACGTACCAATGTACAGGAAGATAGTGAAGGGCCATGGATGATTTTTGACGGAACATATGCTATGATACATCAGAAATATGTCGAACTGGAGATAATGCCATTTTCCTGCAATAGAAGAGCTCCACTAGCCAGGGATGTTGAAAGTAGTTCAAGACCTACCCATTTCCTTGTTGAGTAGTATTTCATATTTTGTGAACTGAAACTATTGGATGCAATGTACTTCCTACTTGAGCGGACAAGCTAAGGCTCAGGTTGAGTGAATTCTAATGAGTCTCCAGTATGTAGCTATCGATATGCTAGCCAGAGGCAGAGATACATCCAGTCTACTGACCCTAATAGTATCCTTTTAGATAATATTTCTAATGTTAAGTTTGATATCACAAGGATTAGCAAAACTATCAAGCTAGTACAGTTTAGAATTTATCACAAGATGCTAAGTATATGCACTCAAGGACCTTACAATAACCAACTTCCTTTGTATACTGATTGACTTCCCTATCCTCCAATGTGGTCGCTAACAGACCCTGATTAATTTTTTAACTGCAGTTGAAACAAGAGCTTATACTTTCTTTTGATAATACCTACATAGATAGTTCTGCACTTTAGTATAGTACATTTTAGGAAAGCATGCGGCCAAAACTACAGGGCTCTTCAGCCTCGGTATAACGTGAACTACATGTGTGTGCCTAAATAATCCCCAAGGCTTGGCGGACGATCGACTCGATGTCTGTCGACTCGACAAGTATGCACGAATGAGCCAATCAGAGCTCACCTGCTCCTCGACTCGGTATATGTCGACTCAGATAGCTAGTGAATAAAAATTAGGTAGTCTCCTTCTACATTTATTATGCCTTGTGTCTGGAATTACGGGCCCCTATTCACAAATAATCTCGAAATTCAAAGAATATAAAAGGTCCTCTCCGGTCCCTAGAATATTCATACACTCTACTTTATCCTATATTTTTCTTTATTTACTCCACAACCGACGGTAGTAACGAGATGGGTAGCATTGGCCCGAGCGAAACCGAACTGGGATTTGATCCCAAAGCGCTTCATGACAAATATCAAGCAGAACGCAACAAACGTCTACGCAGCGATGGTGTGGATCAGTACGTGCAGTTGGATCAAGACAGTCTGGACCCATATGTGGATTCGCCTATTGTTCAGGACCCCGTGGAGGAAGATGTCGACTTCCTTATTATGGGAGGCGGATGGGGTGGTCAACTGATTGCTGTGAGACTGATTCAAGCCGGAATCACCAACATCAGAATTGTGGAAAAGGCTGGAGATTTTGGGGGTGTGTGGTACTGGAACAGATACCCCGGGGCTGCTTGTGACACCGAATCGCACATTTACATGCCATTGCTGGAAGAATTGGGTTACATGCCGGCCGAGAAGTACGCAAAGTCGCCTGAGTTACGGGAGCATGCTCGCAATATCGGCATCAAATTCGGCATGTACGACAAAGCTCTCTTCCAGACCGAACTGTCGGCCCTTGACTGGAATGAGGATACTGGGCGCTGGGTTGGAACAACAAACCGCAACGATCAAATCCGAGCTAAATTCGTGGCAACAGCAAGTGGCCCACTGCACAATGCGAAGATTCCACGTATCCCCGGCTCTGAGACATTCAAGGGACATTCTTTCCACACCAATCGCTGGGACTACAATTATACTGGGGGAGATACCACCGGAAACCTGGACAAGATATCAGATAAGCGCATCGGTATCATTGGGACAGGAGCGACAGCGGTTCAAGCAATTCCCCATCTTGCGGAAGGTGCCAAACATCTCTACGTGTTCCAACGCACTCCATCTTCCATCGACGTTCGAAACAATCGACCGACGGACCCGGAGTGGGTGGCTAGCTTGACACCGGGATGGCAAAAGCGAAGGATGGAGAATTTCAATACGATTGTAACTGGTGGTCAGGCGGACGAAGACATGGTCAATGATAACTGGACCGATATTATCCGCAGACTGTCGGTTTTAGGAGGCAAAGATCAGCCAACGGCTTTACCGGACATGGCAGCACTCCGGCAGCTTGCCGATTTCCAAAAGATGGAGCAAATCCGTGCTCGGGTGGACAGTATTGTTCATGATAAATCGACTGCCGACAAGCTGAAGCCATGGTATAATCAGTTCTGCAAGCGACCCTGCTTCCACGATACCTATCTTCCAACCTTCAATCGCCCCAATGTTACCTTAGTTGACACCGAGGGCCAAGGTGTCGAGAAAATCACTAAGGATGGCATTATTGCTGGTGGCAAATTTTACGAGTTGGATTGTATCATCTACGCCACAGGGTTCGAGTATTCCGTCAACCATTCCAATAGATCTGGACTTGCCATCCGAGGTCGTGAAGGACTTGAGCTTTCGGAGAAGTGGAAGAACGGTGCATCCACACTTCATGGTTTGCACAGCAAAGGCTTCCCCAACCTCTACATTGTCAGCCTTCTGCAATCAGGTCTTACTCCTAATCTGACTCACATGCTCGACGAACAGGCCATCCATATTGCCTACGTCACTTCATGTTGCATGGAAAAGGGTATCAATGTATTGGACACTGCAGCGGAGGCCGAGGAAAAATGGGTTCAGACCATTGTTGAGCTTGGAAAGCTCCAACAAGACTTTGTGAAAGAATGTACACCCGGTTACTACAACAACGAAGGAAAGCATTCGGAGGCGGTTCTTCGGAATTCTACTTACGGACTCGGGTCTCCTGTCTTCATTGAATTGTTGAGGAATTGGCGAAAGACAGGGAAACTTGAGGGCCTCGAATATGTGAAGAAGGTCGAGGCACTCTGAAATGTTTAGAAGGCGCGTTGTGCATGCTGGATTAGGTTGTTCTGACAATAACTGTCAATGAGAGATCATCACCATTCCTAACACAGCTTATCCAGTGTTCAAACAGCCTAGATAACGAGAAGAATAATAACTTCTAAGATCAATACATAGCATCTAATAGATTAAGCCCTAAGTCCAATTCTGATAATTGGGGTTTCCAACCTTGGAATCTTGAAGGTCTTGGCAACTCTAAATATTAATTGGACCAATCGGACCAATCGGACGGACCAAAATATTTTATTTTACCCCGCGTTCCACCTTTTTATATTAACAGCCTCGGTTCGCCCATTTAAAGGGCGACGTTTTGGGGCTCCTTTTAAAATATTTCGACCCCTGTTTCCAACTGATTTGTGGTTTCAAGATGGATACTAATAAGAAAAAGGCGGCACCAAGCACTTTGACTCCAGCCCAACGAGCACGGAAAAGAGCAGCTGACCGAAAGTTCCGTAAAAGCTCCCGTGAGAAAACCAAGAGTTACATTGCTCATTTGGAAAAGTTGGTTGAGGCCAGCAGTTCTTCTCCCAATGGCTCCGAAAATGTGCAACGCCTCATGCAGCAGGCTGACGAGCATTATAACGATGCCCGCCAGCTCCGGTCTGCCTTAACGAACATTATTGATCTAGCGCAGTCAAATCTTCAAAAGTTAAGCGACCGCGCTTCTACATCGCCTTCAGCAGCAGTACCTACTCTGACCTCCCCAGGAGAGTCCGATGATCAAGAGGCCTTTCGATCGCCGACCGAGAACAGCGATTTAGAAGCGATGGAGACTGTTGGGGCCCATTTCAATGTTCAACATTTCGACAACACAAGCTTTGACGACCTGCTTGGGGATTTAGAACCGTTCCAGCAAGAGGGTGATGAATTTGCCCCGTTCAGCTCCATGCCGCGCAACCCTGATCAGATAGAATCAGAGACTGCGAATCCTCCGGGCCCTTCCCTCCCACTTTCAAACATGGCCATTCCAGAGCCATACCCCTCCTACAAATCAGCCCTCGCTAAACCCGCTGTACTGCCCGTGCCCACTATCTTACAGCCCTCTACGACGAACGATTCCCAATCCATTTGGAACTCATTGGGCACTATTACATACACCGCCATAAGTTCATGCAAAAAGACCATCCAATTTCTCTCCGGTGAACTGCAGAGAAGCCGCGATGAGAATGTTTTGATTACGGCGGTTGTACACGGTTGGCATTCGGTCCCGGAGCAAGATTTATTTGATCCAACCTGGCAAGCGATTCGTCGTGTAGATGAGCAAATGCTTCGGCCTTATAGAGCCGTGGAAAGGCTTGCCATGCTGTATGTGTCAAGATTGCAGCTTTTGGTAGGTTGATACGTGATACTCTTACTCATGAAGACACTGATATTTATCTTTTCCATATTGGCAGTATTTACTTGAAAGAGAATATATATATGACGTCCCTACATTCATGCACCCAAGGTAAGGAAAATGAATGACTTGTTTAGCATCTCACGCTTATATGTCGTCTAGGCCCTCTCAAACGATCATCGACCATCTCCCGCATGCGGAGTTTTACGTATGGTGAGTATTCCCTTATTAGACAAGGTGTGAAGCATCTCATCGCCTGACTTCATTTTCTCTTAGGCCGGGGTTTCGTGAGCACTTATTTGTGTGGCCACAGAAATATTCGCAGGACAAATGTCTTGCCTATATGGGCTCTTGTTTTCGATTTTCCTCTCCCTCGGACCCACAAAGCCTATACGCCTGGAATCCGCGAACCGGCTTATATACTTTTTCAACGGAATTTACCAAGCGACTGAAGGATTTGCGGTGCTGGACGGTTGAACGACGTTTCTTTGATGTTTATCCAGAGCTTGAAGGGGAAATACCGACGTACAATGGTGGGCTAGTGGCTCTCGCAGACGTGGGTCTTCTGCCGCTAGAAGCATGGCACACGAGTCAGCAAGAGCCGCACGATCAATGTCATGAAAATGAAACATTTGCTGCTTATTGAGTCTAACACTTGGAATTGATTCTGACTCTACGCGCACTCATAAAAGTGGCATCTCAGAGAGGAAAGCCCTTGAACATCAAATACACTAAAGTTAGGATATTATCATCTCTTTATTCAAACTGAAAGTCCATGAGTTCTTTTTCCCCTTCCTCGCCCACTTAGGTTATTGAAATTCGAGAATCGCCACGCCAGATTCACCATTCCGCCAAGACCGGTTACCATTTGATGATGCTGATATTCGGGCCGTGAGATCATGTCGCCCGATCCGGCCAATATCCCAAATGAAAGAATCTGCAGGGCTATGTACCATCTCCAGGCTCCCTATGTCAATCAGATTGAGCAACCAAAGAACATTCGCCCCCTAAAGGGGTGTTTGAAATGAGGGACTCGGCATAAAACGTGCCTCTTACAAAGTAGATGAAATTGCTTGCATGGCACCAACTCAAGATCAGCCGAATGAAAACATTTCATGGCGTGTCCTTGTTGGTACAATTGTCAGCATTGTCCCTGCTACCATTTGCGTGATCTTGCGGTTTGTTGCCCGCAAGGTTGCCAGTGCTGGCCTATGGTGGGATGACTATACCATTGCAGTATCGCTGGTAAGTGATACTTGAGCTCTGCTATCTTGATCTTACAAAGGACACAAAAGTTAATAGGGCTAGGTGGTGAACTGGGCTATGGCTGCTTTACGATGGGCACAGATCCCGTTATACGATTATGGTCGTCACGCTCAATACGTATCGCCTGAGAAGCGTAAGGGATTTGGAAAGGTATTGTATCGGATCTGCCTATTAATTGCAATATCTAACAAGCACGCAGAGTTTCATGGCTGTCCAACTTCTATACTTTATCAATGCCATCATTACCAAATCATCTCTGCTGCTTCTATTCTACCGCATTTTCGGTATTGTCAGAGGCTTTCGCTGGGTCCTCTTGGCCTCTGCCTTTCTGATCTTTGCCTACTTTGTCGCATGTTCGATTACTTCAATTGTGGGATGTTCGCCAGTATCCAAAGCGTGGAATTCGGGCCAACCAGGTCACTGCATCAATGAAGTACAATTCTTCCGCTGGAATGGCGTCGGAAACATGATCCTCGATTTTCTGGTGCTCTGTCTCCCATTTCCGATGGCCTGGCGGCTGAATACAACGACCCGACAAAAGTTCATTCTAACCTGTATCTTCCTACTTGGTGGTTTGTGGGTTTCCTTAGCATCTCAAGATGGGATATATTACTAACTATGCACTAGTGTCTGCATCGTCTCAATTCTCCGCATTGTCAGTTTCGAGTCAGCAGTCGTTAGTGACCCTACCTATACAAGTATTGGCCCGGCAACTTGGTCCTCGGTTGAGCAATCGGTGGGGATAATATGCGCCTGTCTTCCAACGCTTCGGCCCCTCTTCCGGCGTTTCTATGGTGCATCAAGGGCAGCCTCGATTAGAGATAATAGTTCTACTTTTGATTCCCAGGATCGGTCCTCGCTGTCTGGCCGAATGTCGCATTGCGATGAAGCAACTGGCATTATGGGCTCTGCTTCGCCGCAGCACCGGATGCGTCGTGCTTCCTCACACGAGCTAGACGAGTTACAGGGTGTTTATGGCAGTCGAACATTTGATGAAACTAATGAGCGTCCCGATTCACAATTCTCACAGACGAATGGGATGAACAGGCCAGTCTCTGTAGCTAGATCCTTTGGATGATTTTACCAGGGGTTCTTGGTGTTATAGTGATCATTTAGTGTGATACCCTTTCGCAAAGATATATATCATTGTTACATTTTATTTATTATATTCGAAGGATACTTATAGAGTAATGATCTTCCTATTATCTATCAGAAGCTATATTATCCCAAAAAGAGTCAACAATACAAATGGTGAAAATATGTTTGTGGAAAAAGCTCAACTATAACTCCTTAAATTCAACACCTCATAAATCTGGCACCAACGATTCCCTTCGAATACCCATCATCTTTCTTTTATTAGCGAATTATTTTGATTTATTTTGATTCGGAGAAAAAGCCCCATAATGAACTTTCTAACCGACTTTCTGTTTACTATAAGCTACCGCAAGGCTGGATTCATCCAAGCGCACTGAAGTTAGTCGCGTGCTGGATGATCGGCATGTTTTCAGCGCAGATGCTTTCAGCCTTGTTGTACGGAGTACCCCATACGCAACATAGCTATTGTTCGTTCGGTCTTTCATGACAGAATGCTCAACCGATCCATTTACTTCAATGATGCTTGCTACCAATATTTTGCCTGCTCTCCTCGTATCGTCCCTGCTAGGACTCGCATCGGCGACTTCGCCGAACTTGAATTTATTTGCCTACGGCAATCCGGGACCCTTGCTTGGCACGTCTTTCGGCATTCCAGGAGCGAATGCGACTTTCGACTATGTAGTCGTGGGCGGAGGCAATGCCGGGCTCACCATCGCAAGCCGTCTGGCAGAGAATCAAACAGTAAGCGTTGCAGTCATCGAGGCGGGCGGCTTCTATGAAACCGACAATAGCAATTACTCCGTTGTCCCTGGTTATTCCAGCTATTACACAGGCTCAGACCCGGCAGACTACCAGCCGCTCATCGACTGGGGTTTCAGTACGAAGCCTCAGCCTGGGGCAGGAGGTCGGGTCTTGCATTATGCCCGAGGCAAGACCCTGGGAGGGTCTTCGGCTAGGAACTACATGCTCTACCAGAGGCCGACGGTGGACAGCATGCAGCGCTGGGCCGATGAGGTAGATGATCAGAGCTATACTTTCGAGCATTTATTGCCCTATTTCAAAAAGTCTACTCACTATACGCCTCCCAACCAAGAGTTACACAACAATTCCACGAACAGCCAGACTCCAGATGCGTTTACTCCCACAGGCGGACCGCTAGAAGTGTCCTTTAGCAATGCCGTGAACGCGTTTGCAACATGGTGCCAGAAGGCATTTATTGCCATCGGAATGGAGCAGATTGATGGATTCAACAGTGGTGGACTGCTTGGATCTGCCTTTGCGACCTTCACCATCGACCCGCGAAACGCACATCGCTCCAGCTCCGAGTCGAGCTTCCTTCAGGCCGTGTTAAGCAAAGGCGTCGCGCCCATGGTGTACAAGAACACCATGGCACAAAAGATCTTATTTGACAGCGATAACAAGCGCGCAACAGGGGTTCAAGTGTCGACTGAAGGCACATTTGGCACCGGGTCGGTCAATTTTACACTCCACGCTCGCACCCAAGTCATTCTATCAGCAGGTGCCTTCCAATCTCCTCAGCTACTGATGGTCTCGGGCATTGGACCCTGCGACCATCTACGTAGCTTTGATATCCCCTGTATCAAAAACCTCCCAGGCGTGGGCCAAAATATGCAAGACCACCCAATCTTCGGGACAGCGCATCGCGTGAACGTTCTCACAGCTTCAGCCTCAGCCAACAACGCAACTCTGGCAGCACTTGGTGTGAGGCAGTACATACAAAATGCCACAGGGGCTCTTTCTATCTTTGGGCCAGGCTATTACGGCTGGGAGAAATTGCCCCACCCATTCCGCTCAAACCTGACTCGCGAATCTCGTCAAGCCCTATCGAGTTTCCCATCAGACTGGCCGGAACTAGAATGGTTACCCATCAGTGCGTTCAACGGTGATAACTCCAACAAAGTCACGGCTGATCCGAAGGATGGACATCAATATGCAACGCTCAGTGGAGCATTGATTACTCCTCTATCTCGCGGTTCAGTCCGTCTCGCTGGCCCCAGCATGAACACTCCGCCCTTGATTGATCCGCAATGGTTTACAGACCCAACCGATATGGATCTTGCTATTCAAGCTGTCAAGCGGCAGCGCCAGATTTGGGTGGAATTGGCTAAGCTAGGCGTGGCCGAGCACGAGGAGTATTTCCCAGGCTTCAATGTTTCCACTAATGCTCAGATTCGTGAATTCATTCATCAGAGTATGACTACTGTTTACCATGCATCAGCGACATGCAAAATGGGACGAAAGAACGACACGATGGCTGTGGTTGACAGCCATGCAAATGTTTATGGTGTGCAGGGGTTAAAAATTGTCGATGCCAGCAGTTTCCCATTTCTCCCACCAGGTCATCCCCAATCTATTGTGTACGCATTTGCTGAGAAGATTGCGGATGAGATATTGGGCTTTGTTGGATGAAACTCAGCGTGGTATCCCAAGCACTGGGAAGACGCTATGTATAGATGACCTACACTGATGCAATAAAGAGATCTTCTGAAAAAAAAATTCAAACTATAGAATACAATGCATACAGAGAACAGCCCAAATCCATCTATCTGTACAATATGCCGCAGAGATATCAATGCATCGCGGCATGACAATTACCAACAGCCCAAAAGATCAGACAGTATCTCGACTAGTACTATGAATACCTCGAACCACTGCCGGATCATGATGATCACATTTTCACCTGAAAAAAGGTTCTCCCAAACACCGAACAAACCAGCTATGACCGGGGTTCAATTACTGAGCTGTCCTCCGAGTCTTCCACGATCACCGCGCCTTCCGCCAACAACTCATCTGGCGTCTTTACCCGCACATCCATGACACGCATGAGCGTGTAGCGGTGCTTGCTCTTGGCCTGCTTAACGTGCCTTTGTCTCCGCTTCGTCTTCTCCTTGATGCGCAGCGGCTCCGAGTCCACACCCGTTACACGAACCCGACACTCGTAAATACGCTCGTCGATAGTTGGTGAGCCCTTCATTGTGAAGTCACGAGATCCAAGTGCGGAAGCACGGTTGAACCGCAGAATATCACCCGCCTTAACATTGGGCATGAGGAAGGGCAACCGAATGTGATCACCTTCTGTCAAGAGGTATGGTCGTGCGTGCAGTTGAGCGACGAGATAGTGCGGCTTCTGGCCAGCAAGGTGGGGGAGCTGTGACATGAGTGATTTTGTCACTTTAAGGGGGGAGGTGAAAGTCGGAGCAACGGGTTGCTTTGCAATGGGGACGTGTGCGCGTGTTTGGGGTGTCATGGTGTTTTCGTCGAAGTGGGAGACCTTGACCTGAGTCTTCGGTTGGGTATCTTGCGCCCGGGGAGAGGCACTGAGAGGTGATTCGGGATGACTAGATGGCGATTGGCTGTGAGGTTGTGCCGAATTCATCAAAGATGCACTTTGGTGAAGGCATGCCCGTTGCTGCAGGGGAGCTGCGGATGAGATTGTAGACGGCGCAGTCCAGCGCAGTTCGGAGGCGAGGCTCCGTAGAACAGAGCGTGAGAACATGTTGATGGACCCCTTGCCAATGCTCAATGATCGAGAGTGGAAGTGGTTCGCGGTGGTTGATATTCAAGATAGAACAGTGGCTTCCCCGTAACTAGAGAAATTCACTACTTGCGCAAATGGCCGCTTTGTCACCCGTAGTATCACGTGATAATTGCAATCAAAGCTTCAGATGGAGATTTGTAGATAGCAGAAACAGATATTGTGTTGTAGAGTTATATAAAACGGCCTCATACCATTCTAATTTCGAGCCGCTACTTTTTTACGTCCAACTCAAATATTCTTAAGCCCTTCTTTTAATATCTGCAAGTTGAAATCCGACCTTACCGATAAGGCGCATCACGTGCCTCACTATCTTTTCCGCATCACAACTTTTTCGGTCTCGATTAGATCTTCAAGCCAAGAACTTCATCACCCATTCACCGCGTGTTGTTCATTATTCGTTCATCATGGTAAGTTATTGATGATTTCCTGATCTCTCAATGTCCAATTCCATCAATTTGCTAACGTTTTTCCCTACCTACAGCCTCAGAACGAGTTCGTCCCTCCCCGCCAGCCACCACCCGATACGATCTCCAACTGACATTTTTCCACCAGGTACATTGAGCGCTGGCAGAAGCAGCATGGTAAGCGCCTCGACCACGATGAGCGCATGCGCAAGCGCCAGGCTCGTGAAGGACACAAGCAGTCCCACGATGCCCAGAACCTGCGTGGTCTGCGGGCCAAGCTGTACCAGCAGAATCGCCACAAGGAGAAGATTCAAATGAAGAAGCGCATCAAGGCCCAGGAGGAGAAGAACGTCAAGTCCGCCGCTCCCGACGAGCCTTCCAAGACTCCTCTGCCCCAGTACCTGCTCGATCGCTCGCAGGAGACCAACGCCAAGGCCCTCTCCAGTGCTATCAAGAACAAGCGTAATGAGAAGGCTGCTAAGTTCGCTGTCCCTCTGCCTAAGGTCAAGGGTATCAGTGAGGAGGAGATGTTCAAGGTTATCAACACCGGAAAGAAGACCCACAAGAAGGCCTGGAAGCGTATGATCACCAAGCCTACTTTCGTTGGAAACGACTTCACCCGTCGTCCCGTCAAGTACGAGCGGTTCATTCGTCCCATGGGTCTGCGTTACAAGAAGTGCAATGTTACACAGTATGTATTATCTTTCGGGAGAGAATTCCCGCCCTTGGGTTTATTTTGGTTGGATATCGTATATTGACATTTTCTTCAGTCCCGAGCTGGCTGTCACCGTGCAACTCCCCATCCTGTCTGTCAAGAAGAACCCTCAGAACCCTCTCTATACCCAGCTGGGTGTCTTGACCAAGGGAACAATCATTGAAGTCAACGTCTCCGAGTTGGGTCTTGTTACCACCTCCGGTAAGGTTGTCTGGGGTAAATGGGCCCAGGTTACCAACACCCCCGAGAACGACGGTTGTGTTAATGCGTGAGTTGCCTTCATCATTCCTATTAATTTATCCCTAATTAACCTCCAATAGGGTCCTTCTTGTCTAAATTGACCACAAGCACTTCCTCTACATTCCCGGCAGGCGCATCCGCCTGTCTTCGATACCTCCATGTCCAGGCAGTTCTATATTTCCCTTTCTTGATACATACAGTCTATCAAGACTGTTCTATTCTTGGGCGGTGTTAATGGCGCAAAGTCAAGTCCATTGATTTCAAACGAAAAGTATTCCGTATGTTTGGCTTCTGAATGGACATAGCTAGTTTTTAGATAGTATCAGGCATTTATCAACTATGATTTTATGAAGACAAGCAGCATCTCCGTTGCACGCCAGATAGATATTGTATGGTATCATAAGACCATGGATCAAAAGGCTTGATCCAAATCCCAAGTGGCTCTCAAGACGAGAAATACAGTATACCAGTAATAAGACAGGCAAAGGTTGTTAATTAAACATCCTAACCAAACGGGGACTTATTGTCACTCCAAGAATACTGATACTGAAACAGTATCCTTCCGGATGTAAGAGAAAATATGAAAAGGCTAATGAAATCATGTACTGGAATGAAAATCCACACGCTGCGCTGAAACCGAGATTCATCAAGAAATACCCACCACAAGGCAACATGGCTGGGTCAGACACCCCGAAGGATGATGCAGAAAGAGGAGAAGAGACAATGCAAAGAAACACAGACAGTGAGATATCTCGCAAATTAACCAAGACCCAGACAGAAAAATATTAACACATCCAACACCAGTCATTAAGTCGTTCTAACCAAAAAGGGAACTTGAGAAAACGCCGACGAGGCAGTCAAGACAAAGGAAATAAAGTGGAAGGAGTGTTTGGGTGTTGTCATGCGCTTTCTTCTTCAAGGGCTGCTTTGATTTTTGCAAAGAAGCCTGCAGGCCATGCGGCTAGCTCCTCTTCTCTGGGTACACCGCGGACCTTGCAGTGGTTGACGACATTAGCCAGGATACGGCCAAGCATATCCTGAGTGACTGGAACAGCACCCTCAAGCTGGGCATCGGGGTGCAAGAATGGATCGCGCGGGCCAAGCATCTCTTCGATAGTTGGTCGGAGAGTCTGGTCGCGCTGCAGACAGCGCTTGAGGGTTCGTACAAGGCCAGGAGGCACTGGAACGCCACCGACGCCAAAGGCCGGGAAATCGATTTGTACACGGGGGTTGGGGATGGCCATGATGCGTTCATAATATTTGGCGATCTTGGCGAATGGTGGTTGTCCGTAGACCATCTTGTACAGAATGCAACCTAAACTCCAGACATCGCTGGGTTTTCCTAATTTCATAACTTTTCCGACACTTGCAGGCAGACCAAGGGATACGTTGGAATCGACCAATGCTTCAGGGGACATATAATTTGGTGTGCCGACTTGCTGTTCACGATGAACGTTGACTGTGTTATCTTGGATCGCATTTGCAATTCCAAAGTCGATAAGCTTCAACCGGCCTTGAACCATAAGGAAGTTGGCCGGCTTCAAATCCGAGTGGACAATGTTGTACTCGTGGACAGCTTGGACACATTCGAGCATCTCCTTCCAATAAAATCGGGTAAAGTTGATGTCAAAAACAGCATCTTCGGCATTTAAACGGTATGTGAGAATCTTTTCAAGATCAGACTCTCCAATCTCCATAAGCACACTAAGAGCATGCTTGTCATTGTTCAGTTCCCAGTCAAACAAGCGCACCACACGGTCCACATTCTCCAACCTTTTCAACAGGTCGATCTCGCCCTTATATCCAGTCAAAGTCACTGGATCGACATCTTCAAGATTGACACGCTTAAGAGCGAAGATCTTGTAATTCTCTGCCATCACTCGATAAACACGCGAGCTGCCGCCTCGACCAATGCAGTCGAGTCGAGTGAAATGCTTGCCATTAATCGAAACCTGGCTCCTCTTTTTTCGTGATTGTGATGTCGATGCGCCTGCTGTTGAAGTAGCAGTCTCAAGTACCGACATCTTCGGAGGAGGAGGAGCGGCCCTATGAGGAGTGTTACTGCTCCGGGTGGCAAGTATTTTTCGCGCAGAGTTGGTTGCCGGAGTCTCCGCTGCATCTTTCTTCTCGGAGTCGTAAACAACATTATACTTTTCGGGCTTATCTAACACACTCAATCCTTGGGGTTTTGTGCGCCGGAAAGTTGGTGGTGGTTCATTCTCTTGGTCACGGACCGAGGGCAAAGCCGGTATTGAAGGAACTTTGAATACAGGTTGTTCCTTCGCCATCGAGGATTTGGAAGACATTTCTGATGAAGCAGGTGTGGACTTTGAGCCGTACGATTTTGGCGAAGATGGCCTCGAAAACGGTCCTTCAACCTCAGCAGGGCGGAGAGGATATTCCCGTCGATTGGAGTCACGGACGAGAGGCGGACTTGGGTCAGCCCATGACACCTTGGGGGATGAAGGTTTTGCTAGGTTGCGAGGTCGGTAATCGGCATTCTCCTCCTCTCCTTCCACGTCCTCCTGGACGCCGTCGGCCGAGAGGTATTGGTGATTTTCCTCGTTACTTTCCTCACTCTGACGGCGTAGGACGCCTCTCCGGGCAGGACCGTTCAAGAAAGTGCCAGCAAGTCGACCAACACGCTTAACGCGCAGAGAGCTATGTGGAGCGACCTCTTCGCCGCCATGGCCCCGCAATACGGAAGAAGGGGCATATCGTAAGGCTGGATCATCGTCATATTGCGATTTCCGATCACTATCTGAGCGACCTACACTACCATACTCGTCACCCGAATTGCGTTCCGATGAACGATTTCCCGAGGGTGAGGCAGAGGCGGGGGATCGAGTATTGCTGCGTGAAGCATTAATACGAACACTGCGTTGGCGCGGGGCGGGAGTGATAAAATCACTTGGGGGGCTGTGGTGCTCTGGTTCTGCGCTCTGGCTATTTGATAGCGGGGAGCCTTCGCGTGAGAATCGAGAACCTGATGAGATGGCTGCTATGCGAACGACTCTTGGAGCAGGGCTACCATTAGATGAGTCGTGTGGGGACGAATTCCGGGGTGAGCGGCTTTGCTGTCTTGTTCCAATTCGAGGCTCGTGTATGTGTGCCTTTTGTAGATGAGGCGAAGAACCCAATCCATCTCCATGCAACAATGCTTTTACAGAAGCACTGAATTTGGGTTCCGGGACCTCTTCGTCGGAGCTATCACCCGAATAATGTTTGGATACAGCCGGTGATGGAGATACCCGTCTGGAACCCGAACGTGAAACCGCGGATCGGGACATCGGTCGGGGTGGCTGCCGGTACAGCTCGCTGTATGCTGGGAGGGAATTCGGGGACTCCATGGCGATAATACCTACATTGAAGTCGTGAATCAATGTGGCCCCTCCAAAGTTGTCGATTGTTTTGTTGATCCTGGAGAAAGCCCAGTCTTGAGGTTTCGTCGCGGGCGCGCTATACAGTCACGTGTTTGGTGTTGCTACGGTAACGTCGACACCACAACATACCAGAGAACATTGAAAGAATTAACTCTGAATTTGTCGAAAATCGCAGAACATAAAGGATGGACACAAATATAAGCTAATAATATCTCAGTGTACTCCGGTAACAGTGGTCTTGCGCCTCAAGTGCTTAGAAGGACCCTACAGATTACTCCGTACATATCCGGATAACCTCCACTTCTATACATCTACGGGTCTATAGACTACTAGACTAAACGTGGTAATGCTGTCATACTCCCGAAGCGCTTAGGGGGAATATGATATGAATTTATGTTTCTATTAAGATTCAGCATCATTTCATGGTAGTGCTAGTATATGGTAGTCATCCATTAGGGCAGATATATATACTTCAAGAGCAAAACATGAAGAAGCAGCTTAGCATACAAATCTTTTCTATTCATATTTAGAAAGATACAAGAAAGAGAAACGTCTACGGAGTATATTTACCTAAATAGGGAATTGATACTCGCACCGCCCCTGACTTTCAGTACCGCCTTCCTGATTAGATTTCTGCCATGTATTCTGCCACCACTATGTTGTATAATAATTCCAGTTTACATAGTAAAAAGACCTGCATTTTGATCACAAAAATGCATTTCTCCATGATTACTGCCCATACTCTACAAATTGCCTATTCTCTCACTTAGGAACCCTCCCCATCCACGCCCACGCCCGCGTCCCCGCCTCCTGGGTAAGCACATACATCACATCTTCCGACTGCTATGTTGTATACTATAACACTATTATTGATTCTATACAAAGTGGTGATAGATGACGCCATAATCTGCAGTTTTTCAAAGGGTCTCCCTTCCAGTTTACCAGCAAAATCAATTCATAGCACTACCAAAATTACTGATTTCGAGAATCTAAAATATGCATTTTAATAGCCGATGTCTAATTCATATAAATCAATATAGTAAATCCAACCGATTTATCTCGATTTCCAGGTAAGAAAGTAGGATAATAAACTATCAGTTTATGGGGTAAAAACATAGGGATATATATATATTTATACGAATTAGACCTCGACGATTGAAATGCATATTTTAGATCCTCGAAATTAATATATTTAGTAGTGCTCTAAGTTAATTATGCTGGTAAACTTTGTAAAAGGTAAACAACTCGATATCTAGTCACAATATATATCTCTCGATTTACATATCGAATTGCTTCAACTTTTCACTAACTCAATTTTTTTTTTTCATTTACTACCATAGTGGAACACTAATCTACTATCAACCTATCTATTGGCCTTTTTCTCTCTCGGTTTATATCTAATTTACTAGTACTATGTAGATACATAGTAGTAAATAATCAGTTGTCGATACATAGTGGTGGTAAGAAAAGCAGTACAATACTGGTAAGATCGCGGTAAGAGAGATAGCAGAGAAGAAACAAAAAGGAGAGGGGTGTCTTGAGGATCTCGGGAAATTCACAGCTGATTCGACAATGTCTCTCAGCCTTTTCCCCATCAGGCCTCAAATACTATGGTGCCTGATATGCTTTGGCATGGCATTACGTGACTTCGATCCTGGCCAAGGGGAACGTTTTGTGAAACGAAGTTGTGTCCTTAACGCGGTGGCTTCGATTCTTTGTGAGCAATGTTTCTCCGATCGGTGCCTTTGTGAAACTGTCAGTGTTCATGGTTAATTCTTCAAGGATCAAGACTGATTCGTGTAGGTTCCGGCTGGGATGATCGGCGACGTAGAGGATCTTGTGAAACACCTAGGTTTAGCGAGGCATTTTTGGCGGCCTGACACTGAGCTCGGTGACTGGGGGCAGTTTGTACAGGCCGACATCGCTCTTGCAACAGGAGATTTAGCTCATGCATTTGATACAGTCGTGAAGGCACATCGTAGCCATTTCCGACTTGATGGGATGCGGAGGGACGAGGTAGTAAGGACGGGTACGTTCAGCTGTGGGTGATTCGTGATTACTGAACCGGAGTATTCACATATACGTTTCTACGACGAGTATGTGTCTTGTCGTCGACAGGATGCAGCGTCTTATCCCGATTACTGTCTAGGTATAGGAGATTTTGGACGTGTACTCAGATCACTTCAAGGAGACATCGGGTTCGTTAACTAAAAATAAACGGAGTTTACATTATTAAAAACGATATAGAACACTGCCTATCAAAAATAATATAATGTTAGAAACTATTTATTAAGGTTGAAATCTGTACCGGTGGCTTTTCGTACCTTATTTTCTCTTTGTTGGGAAGATGACTGGTGCACAGGGGAGGATGCAGGTCAGAACTATGGGTGATGTGGTGCGTAAGATGTTTACATATGAGTTATCTTACATAGCCAGATGGCATTTGCATTGCCATAACCTTGGGAAATATTTATTCATTAATACATCGGGTCTCTCTCAAAACTCTAGGGCCTAAGAAATACACCTCCATATATTGCAATAAAGTACCCGGTCATCATTGGAAGCCAGCATGAAGATTCATTCAAAACGAGGCTCTAATATGTGCGTTTCTCGTGCCAATACCATACAGTGTTATGGAAGATACGTTTGACCCAAAGTCAATAGCAAGCAGCTATATCTTACATACAAAGGTGAATTTCTTGAACCAGCCCATCCATAAATCAAAGCTTCGGGACCTGTGAAGTTGTTAGACAGTCCACCTTCCCCAGTAAGCGTTCCTAGATACTAACCTCGAAAGAACGGAACTCGGGATAGTTCTTCGAACCACCCTTGGCACACTTTCCATCCTGGAGGGAATATCCTTCACCCTTGCAGTCCTTTCCAACATATGCGGTCAGGGTGTAGCCATTGCTGGCAACGTCGACTGATTTGATAGCAACGCTGCTATCAAAGTTCTGACAGCTGACTGGCTTATCAAGACTTTCCTCGCCAGTCAGGGTTTTGCAGTTGGCATCGGTGTAATAGGAGATATCCCAGTAGGCCGAGGCTGAGAAGGCGGCGGAGAGGAGGACGGCGAGGCTGGAGATACGCATTGTGATGGAAATGATATGATGAGGGCTGTTTGTTTTGAAGATATGGATAGTTCTTCTACTTTGGAGGACAAAGGCGAGATATTTATATGTTTTGGCTTGACAGAAGTACAAAGCTTTTGTCAGGAGCGTGAATAATGATAGAGGCAAGGCTATGGGGGCAAGGCTGAGGCTACGGAGACAAGGCTGAAGCTGTGGGGACAATTCTGCGAGGACAAGGCTCCGAGTAGACCTCCGCACCAGCCTAGCAATGATCTACAACATATCTGCATGGTGACAACAGTTCCCAGTATCCGATTTCCGGTATCGACTCCTACAGATTGATTGGCTCGGGCTCCGTGGATGTTTGGTGTCTCGGTCACTCGGGTGCTCTGGTTCGGTAGCTCGCTACTGCCCGAATAGTACAGGACTCGACTGCCAGGGCCCAACCCAACCCAACCCGGCTTTGGGCCCGGTCCTTAGGCCCACCGGTGGGCTATGGGCCTAGGGTAGAAGCCCACTAGGCTTCAGTGGGGTCCTAATGGGCCCCAGGCAGTACAAACATGCTAAGAATCTAGGTACAGTACTAAGTAAAGTTGAACCATCCCTTTTCTATCTTTTTAATTACTTTTCGTTTTGCCTATATTTCTAGGCCTTATCTCTAAGGTAATATTCTATTTTAAATGATTTAGAGCTTATTATTAGTAAGTTCTTAGTATCACGTTTAAAAAGACGAACAATCGCGTTTTTAGAATTATAGACACTAGAAAGTAGTGGTACCCCTTTCTCTAACATAATCTGGTATACGTTGGACCGCCTGGGCAACTGGCGACTTCGACGCCTTAGGAGTCAGGCGACCAGCTACGGCGTTCGCGAACAACCATGAATGCAGTTTGGTCACCGCGGTATCTATCTCGCGTTTATTCAACATAAACCTTCCTTCCTACCCTCACCTCAGATTATTGCAAAAATGGCGTCTAGTGTGGATGCCAAGCTCATGAGGCGGACTAAGTTCCCCCCTGAGTTCAATAAGAAGGTGGATATGACCAAGGTTAATATTGAGGTTATGAAGAAGTAAGTGACTTTCCCCGGCGTTTTTTCGGTATCTCCGACTGACATTGCTTTTTCCCCCACTGTAGGTGGATCGCAAGTCAAATCTCCAAGATATTGGGAAACGAGGATGATGTCGTTATCGAGCTCTGTTTTGCTCATCTGGAGGGACCACGCTACGTTCGTTAGCCCGATATCTAGCGTATCGACCCTAGTTTGCTGACACCTGGTTCTGGTTCTAGCCCGATATCAAATCTCTCCAAATCCAACTCACCGGATTCCTAGACAAAGATACCCCCAAGTTCTGCCAAGAGCTGTGGTCGTTGTGTCTAAGTGGCCAGGCCAATCCACAGGGCGTTCCGAAGGAGCTCTTAGAGGCTAAGAAGCTTGAACTCATACAAGAGAAGGTGATTGTAAGCGTGCCTTCAATCTCGGATATTTTCTAATCATATAACGATATAGCTTGAGGCCGAAAAAGCTGCCGAAGCACTCCGACGCCAAAGGGAGCAAGACCAAAACCGCGAACGAGAGTTGGACGACGTGAGACGGCGCGAACGACCAGACCACGGACGTGGAGGAAGAGGCGGTGATCGCGGGAGCCGTGGAGGTCGATTCGGAGGACGAGACTTCAACAGACGACCTTCGCCTCCTGGAGATCGAGACCGCAGCCGAGACCGCAGCCGAGACAAATTCCGCGAACCACCATCTCGACGTGACTTCGACTCCTACGTGCCATCTGGTAGTCGTCGCGGCCGCCGTCCATCTAGATCTCCCCACGGTACCCGTTCTCCATCTCGGTCCCCAAAGCGATTGTCACCATCTCGCCGAGACCGCGACGAGCCACGCCACAGGCGACGCGAACGCCGTCCCCGTTCCCCAAGCAACTCAGTATCTCGCGAGCGACGCAACCGCGGAGGAACTAGAAGACGTAGCAGTCCGGACTACGGTGACCGTGTTAAAGCAAGACCCATTTCCCGCAACCGTTCCCCTCGCTCACGTTCCCCCAGAGGAGACCGCCGCCGACGAAGCTCCGTCTCTCGCAGCCGCAGTGTATCCTCGTCGCCTCACCGTGACCGGCGCCGGGCAGACTCCCTCAACTCCGTATCTTCCGCGATTTCCCGCCGCTCATCTGGTCACTATGCCCGAGACCGCGATTCTCGTCGCTTGAGCCGCAGTCCTGACAGTGCCGGTACACGTGATCATAATGAGAGCCGTCGACGCCGCAGCCCCAGCGGTGGTCGGAGCCGTAGCCGTAGCCGCAGTCCCAAGGACATTGACGTTAAGCGGCGCCGCTCTATGGAAATTTACAACCCTGATGAGAAACGACGCAAGATGGCTGATGAGAACGAGGACTCCAGCCGACCCCCGTCGAAAGCTGATGACAGTGAGACAAAAACAAAAGATGCCCAGCAGGTTGGTCATTGAGAATTGAGATTCCTGGTCCAATTACAGCCTGTATTCTTTACCACCCAGATTCAATTCCTACTTAATGTTCGTCTCAAATTTCACATGTCATGTTGTTTCTCAATTTCCTGTTTTGAGTTGGATACTAACAATACTCAGACCAAGAAAAGGCTTTCTGAGTGGGTGAATTCAACCGAATTTCGTCTAAAATTACTTCGTGAGAGATGCCTTGCCATGCGTCGCTCCGAAAAGCCGGGAAGTGCCTCACAGCCAAAGCAGGACTAAACGAGAGCAGCAGAAACCAGTAGGAGGGATTGACACTGACCGTGTGTGACTTGAACTTTGAGATTTATGCCAGCGAAATGTGTGTGTTTTAGCGATGTACATGTACTCTGTAACAATTCAACTAACTCTTTCTTTTTTTTAAAAAAAAAAAAAATAAAATCATAACTTTTCAGTTCAGATTTGAAGATCGACGACATATCGCCAGAATTGTCTTAAAAGCGTAAACATGGCACCAAGGTGCATTGAAGGGAAACAAGATATCTATACTCAAATCAATTAACGGATCTTTAGGATGTCGATATACGCAGGGATACGCTCTGTTCACGTCCAGGTGAATACAGAACCATACACAGGAACATGAGATATATATGGGATATACACGAACAGGGTCCCTCAATCTCCACACAAGCAGATTATGATTAGAATTAGATATCTACAGAGACTCTGGAGAGACAACAGATCACAGGATGTGGGATGAACGGGTATCTTGAGCATGGGCATCCACATTGGCATCCCACGTGTCGAAAAATCATCTTGTCATGAAGGAGTAAAGAGAGGAAATCAACAAAGTTGAAGGAAATTATATATGAGACCTCCTGGGGTCATGTCATGGCTGAAGATTATGTCTTAAGTATGTTGCCTGCTTTACTCGCAGCCGCAGACGGTGGCGGTCACAGTCTTGGTGATAGTGACTGTACCGGATCCAGAGTCACCACCGGAGGACATAGCAGGAGGACTGGTAGGGACGGGGCCGGAAGGAGTTGGAACACCGGGGATCACGGTCGAGTTGATGATCTCGGAGGTCTCGGTCTCACAGGGGGTGGTGGCAGCCGGGTTAGAGGGCGCAGGGCCGGTGCCAGTGGGCACAGGGACCGAGACGGTCGTGGAGTGGGACACGTTGGGGCCGCCAGGAATCACAGTGGAGTTGATAATCTCCGAGGTCTCGGTGTCACATGGGGTGCTGGTGGCAGTGGAGCCGCTAGGGACAGATCCAGTGGGAGCAGGGACTGTGCCGGTGACATTGGGGACGGAGACGGTGGTGGAGGCGGAGCTGTTAGGGCCGCCGGGAATCACGGTAGAGCCGACGATCTGAGAGGTCTCGGTGTCACAGGGGGTGGTAGTAGCAGCGGGGACACTGGGGACGGGGGTGCCGGCGGGAATGGATACAGAGACAGAGGAACCGGGACCGGAAGGCACAGCGGTGGTGCCGGGCAGGTAGGGAGTGCTGGAGGGAAGGCTGGGAACAGAAGACGAGGCAGGGCCAGATGGGGCGCCGGGGATGTTGCAGCCGGTGAACCACTGGAGGATAATGATCTGGATGCTGATATCGATGTCAATGGAAGTGCAGCCACCAAGGAAGGCAGCGAGCTCAGCACGAGCGTCGAAGCTCAGGCCAGTGAGGCTACCGCCGGCAGCACAGAGGGAAAGGGCACCACGGAGGTCAACGCTGAGACCGGTAAGGAGGGATCCGGTCAGGAGATCGGTGACATCGCCAAGCAGGCCACCAACAAGGCCGACCGAAACGGAAGCATCAGCCTCGACAGCGAAGGACAACCAAAGGAGGACAACAGCCTTGAGCTCAACGCCCAGAGAGCAGTCAGCGCTGGCGAGCCAGATGGCGAGCTTGGTGCGGATGTCAAGGTCCACGCCGACGGCAAGCTCGCCCTTGGCGCATGCCTCGAGAGCGAGCTTAACATCAGCAGCGAGATCGGCAGAGAGATCAAGACCCAGGAAAGCGATCAGGGAGGCCTGGCCACCAGCAGACAGGATACCAGACTCCTCGATGTGCACACCGACGGAAGCACCAACGGAGATGGTAGAGAGAGCGGTCTCAGCAAGAGCACCAATCTCAACAAGGTCGCCACCAGCATGGCCGTTGATCCAGGCAAGGACTGAAACCTTGAGGTGAGCACTGAGGTCACAGTCCTCGCTGTTGATCCAAGCAAGAAGGGAAGCCTTGATGTCCGCTGACAGACTGCCGATAACACCACCCGCGGCGCAGACATTCAGACCGACTTTGACAGCCAGGTCAAGATCAAGCTTGGCCTGGATCCATGCGGACAGGGAAGCTTGAGCGCCAACACTCAAGACGAGAGCAGACTCGAGGCTGGAGGCTTCAAAGATACCGTCAATAGTCACGTAAAGCTGGCCCTTGGCAGCGATGTCGGCACATGCGGGGATGTACACGGACAGAGCAGCCAGGACGTCTGCGGAGAGGACGAGCTCCTCGTTGCCCTCACACCACGAGATCAGTGACTTCTTGAGGGAGACGTCAAGATCAGCGTGGAAGAGCAACCAGAGCTTGAGGGCGGCCTTAGCCTTGTGGTCAATGGCACCGGACTTGCAGCCGAGAGCACCACCCTCGAGAGCGGCAGCAGCCTCAGCAGTCAGGCCAGCAAGAAGATTACCGGAGGAGTGGCTATCAAGGACATCGCCAAGGATGGCAGTTACGTCGACAGTTATATCCCCAAGGAGCTCACCGAGGAGACCAAGGGTACGGCGTTCAACGGCCAAATCAGTAGGGTAGGCGAGAGCCGAGCCCACCACACCGGCGAGCAGGACGAGAGAAGAACGCATGTTGAGTTGTTGTATTAACGAGTGTATAGGTCGAAATTGGGAGTATAAAGACTTCTAAAGATGAACAGAAGCGAGAGATTGGACAGGCAGGCACAAGCCGCCAAAACAATTAACGATAGACTGGTAGAAAGAGAAGAGAAAAAGACAGTTGACCGATTGAAGATCCGGCAAAGAGGTGATCGCCATTGTTTATATACCCCTGATCAACTGTGACCCGGGAGGCTTGTGGGCATTCAAGCCACATCGGAACAGACTTCTACACAGTACTTTGTTAGTCCGTCTCCAGGTCCACATTTGGAGCTATCGACCCCCTTAGGCCCCAGGGATGAGACGGAGACATGGATCTTTCACGGCCAGGTGGATCGTGACTGCCAGTAAGAGACGACAGTTGAATTACCGCATTGTGGATCATCCGAGCTATTCTTGGTCAGGGAGAATGGTATCAAATTCTCATAGGATAATCTGGATCTCAACTACTCCGTACGGAGTACTCCATCCGGGTTGAAGTAACTTCATTTGGGAATTGGAAGATGCCGAAGATTAAAATGGGAAATAAAGAATGAAAAAGAAAAGAAAGTCAAGTCATAAGGGGAAACAATCATTGCGGATCATCACGCGGTAGGGATCAACATTGACGGTTGAGATGTTTATGCAATTTTTTGTATCAACTGGAGTCAACCCCTTTCTATCTCCACAAATTGAACTATATTGTAGTCGAACGATTTACGATGTAATTCACCCAATCCCTCTAAATCCAAGTACCTAAATGTCATAAGAAGTGTATGCGGCATTCCGAGTGGCCCGTTAGAAGTCTATATCCCACAGCCCTGGAGACTTAGCCCAGGCACATATTATGCACGCTCTTGACCATATCAGGTAAAGATGGACAGGTCCAATTCTGTTACTCCGTAAAAACCTATCAATTAAGGTCATTCCAGGTCATTCCAAGGTTGAGGGAGTGGGCACCTGTCAGCCACCAACTGAATTTTCGGTCTGCTCTTTGTAAGGAAGAACTTATAATAATCTACAGACTACAATGCGATAGGGACTAAAGTATTCTGTACAGGTGAGTGAATAAGTTACAAATTGTGCTTTTAAACCAAAATATTGGAAAATAATACTCCATAGAACCAAGATTGGCTGTTGAAACTGATGTTCTAGAGCTTGAGACAGAGCTCGACACAGCACAAAAACAAGGATAGGAGCATCTAGGCTCCAGCACTAGTCGAGGCGCTACTTAGTCGGGCTTGGAATAACAAGATATGAAGTTATGCAGTTCGCGCATTGGAAAAATCTCCACTTGGTTGCCAAATAAGAATAATTTATTATAGATTATGTTATATAATATCAGAATGCGCTAGGAGTGAGAGACTGGGTGGAGTATTATCCCTTAGACTACTCCGTACGGAGTACTAGGTCGTTGAACTCTGTTTAGTTGGATGTTCTTCTGGTTACTCCGTTAAGGAAAGGAAAATGGACGATAAGGGGGCTGTTAAAATGGATTCAATAGAATTCTAACCATTAAGCTTCTCTTTCAGTTTCTCCACAAACTAGTTAACTCTTCTAAAACGACACTAAAAGTTGCCAAGAACCATCACCCAATGCGGGAACCAGTTCGTTTTGGACCTTGAGACCGTGCAAAGAATTGAAACAGACTAAAATAGTTGGAGAATTATATACCCCGTCTACTCTGTACTCCGTACCGAGTACGATGTCAAGGAAGTGTAGTGATCTGCAATGTCTCACTCCACGCGGAAAAGCCCCACGAGCACTGCGCATGTGATGGCCTCTCAACTTCCCCTTTGGAGATTGTAAATGGGCTGATTTATAACGTGTGGGACTACATGCAGTTTCTCATCTCTAGTTGCAGCTACAGCTGCAACTGCCCGACAATCCAAGACATCTTTATAGCTATATCGGACAAAATAGCCGAAAGGAAAAACAAATTTTGGAAATGCAGGAAGATTCTTCGGGTTTCGAAAGAGAAGCTAAAAGACGTATTTTCGTCTCTGAGCCCCCTGATCCTACTCTGTACAATAATTCTACAACATACTTCCACCAACATAGCCTAAATAATAAGATATGGAATACGATACGATATACACAGAATAATACTATTTCATCACACAAAGCACTCAAATACCATAAAGTTCAACTAGTCTAACGCCTCGGCTACAAGTCTACGGAACGAGAACGATCTCAGAACTCCATACTCCGTATACTATGTGGTACTTGATCTTTTAGCTACAAAGAAAACCGTTAAACCGAACCTGCTCTTTTTGCTTTTTTAGATCTCTCATATCGAGGTGTTCTATTCCCCACTTCCCCTCGGATGTTTGACCTTAAAGGTCCGAACATGTTCGAACTTGAATCACAATGATTAGATCGGTGCATCGGGATTATCACTCTTTTTGAAACAGTTGCTATTTTTGTTTTCCCCAACTGCAGGGCTAATGACCCACCAGTTGACGGCAAGATCGCACCAAAAGTTATAATTTTTATGCCGCATTATCCGAACTTCTGTGGGCCGAAAACAAGACATCCTCAAACAGTCCCAGATTCTCATGAAACTTGAGATTCAAGATCATGAACACGCTTGGGAAAAAAGGGATCTTTTCCTACCCGGAAGTTTCCCGACCCACATGTTTGTTGGGATTACTCCAACTACCAACTATGGGAATGTCTGAAGGCACACGAACTACACCAGAGGTGAAAAAAAAAAACAGGTACCAGTGTTTCTTCCTGCTGCGATCAAATCTTTCTAATTGGAACATTCATACTCCGATATACTGTTTACTCGCAACCCAATCCCTTCCGCTGGTGAATATAAAAACCTATACACAGTAATTATAGTTTTACTAAATTAAGAACATTCAAGTCGGGTGTTTCGGGAGTTGAAAGAGAGGTCAATGTCACATGAAATCGTAAAAATTTGGATGCCAAGAGTTTCAGAATTATCAGAACCTTCTCGTTCCATGGTTCTCGACCAACTTTATCAAAGCCCTAACTTGGGAGTAACATCGACTTCGTGAAACAACTTATGTTTCAACATCCCAACCGATTCGAAAGAGAAACTCAAGCCGAGTCCTCGATCTGACCTAGTCTACTTTGGATCCAAGTAGCGAATGGTCCGAAGAAATGGGTATCACGATTACTCGGCCGTTCACAAAACGCCAGAAGAGCCCGATATCGCTCAGACGCAGACGCTGAAGTGGCACAAAGAATCTTGGCCAGATCGATCGGACAGAGATAAGGCGGCTGTCTTGCATCCTCGCTGATAGACGCGGTGCCTTGCATTGAGCATGCGTAGTACACGCAATGGGCAATACCGAAGCAGTGACCCAATTCATGGCTCGCCGTCCGACAAACACGACCCAACCAGAGTGCAGACAGTAACGAAGGCGATGAATTCAGATCTGGGAGGGAGCGGTAGACTGATACAGCATCCTCTACAGGCCCGTTTAGCTCTGAAGTCGAATTGCGTGATCCTCGACTATTCACCGAAGATCTTTTCTGTCTCTTGGAACTTGGTTCTGCCGTAGCACATGCAGTCATGTACTTCCCACAGTGCGATGCAGGCCATGCATGGACGCGTTCGACGTCTTGCATGGTATCCAGTATGGGGTTGTATCTTGCAGTGGATACCACTGCAACACGACTGCCTCCGTATGCACGGCCACATACAAACTCGTCCTCGTCATCCTCGTAGAGATCGAAGTCCACAAGCATCAAGAGAGCGTATGCATCTTTTGGTAGAATGCTAATGGCAGCATCGAGAAGATCGTCTAGATTGACTTGGCCCCCATATACCCCGTTTGACAAGGTACGCGAACGTATCCGCACGCACTCATCGCCGGATTCAAGACCCAGGTATTGTTGCCCTGTATTTTTACGAGGTCTTCTTTTGGGCTCTTCCCATGGAACAAACCGAAAGGTAGATGGCGGCATCAGCTTCACAGGAAGACCGTGATAGAAGGCAGTCAGATAGTCCTGGACGTCCTTCGTGCTAGGAGTCTTTATGGAATTCTTATTGTTTGAACATTCTGGCGTAATCCATGTTCGCATGAAGTCAACGCTTGGGTCAACTTGTGGGGATGGAACGACATAGACTGTCTTTTGCTTTGCAGTTATCGGATTACGGTGTTCTCCATGTAGCCATTGTTGAAAGCTCTGGGGGTTTTCTGTGTCTCCTGCAAGATCATCTCCAGGCAGCAACAAAGGGGCAGGAAAGGCTCTATTGTCTTCTTCAAGGAAGAGTTTGTCTTCTCGTGGAAAGCTTCTATTGTCTGCTTTGATCGCAGCCAGACGTTGCCGTTGGCTTTGTCTGGTGAACCCTGCGATGGCAGCATGAGGAGAAGAGGACAAACAGACAACCGTATGATCACAATTTGAGATAGATCTTGGCATGCTGCAAGGTTCGAAATTTGAGGAGAATAATGTGTGGAAGAAAGGAGTTGCGGCATGCGGCTCTGTTAGGCGCACGAGCCCCTAGTAGCCCTCAACGGGAAATTACCCAAATGAATATAGAGTGCGATATATTATACCTAGAAATATATTTCTGACCTTGGAAAAATGTCAAACTTAGTGCGTTTACTATAGTGCTAGGAACCTTCTGGAAATGATAACATTGAAATTCAAAATATATATACTTAAAAAGGCCGCCCTCAAATCACACATCAAACGTTACTCAAAACTGTTTTTAGACCGTGGATAAAGCGTTGAACATCCGCCTCACTGATCAATTGGCGATTGCCCTCGAATTCAAGATCCAGCTTCCCATCCCGTGGGGTAGCATATATTTCTGGTCTGTTTCGAGGCAGCAGATCCGGTTCGTAGAAGGATATCCGACTTTCTGCCCCAAGGAAAGTGAAGTTACGCTCATCTTCTTGCTGGAAAGAGGTTCTCCAGCCAAAGTCTTTTGTGTCATCAGGCCAGTCAGTGCAGTTCCGGATAATTTCTTCCATTCCGGCAGTTTCGTATCGAGAATCCTCAATGAGCTGACGCTGTAATTGCAATGCAATAGTTGAAAGAGTTGCATTCTCATCAATGTGCACGCTGATAGGGATTTCGGTCATAGATGGACCGACCACATTTTGCAGGCTGCTAGGTAGCATCGACCGACCAGTGACTAGTCGACCAAAAACAACATGGGCTTGTTGGTACTGGCGGGATAAGACAATAGCACAAGCGGCATGGAATAAAGTTGCAGGCGACATGCCCTCAGACAATCGGCCTTCAGGCATTGGAATCGTCGCCTTCATCGTCAGCCGGTCCATGGTAGTGTAGACACAGTTCGAGTTAGAGCAATCTACACTACTCCAGTCGGGGGTTGGAGCGAGCTTGAGGCGCGTGGTCCAATAGGCAAATGCGTCTGCCTTCATGTTCTCCCTATAGGTGATGTATTGGGCAAACTTCGGTTGGTCAGGGATAGTGTCGCCACAATAGAGCGAAGAGAGGCTGCGCAGGACTGTATCCCAGCTAAAGCCATCAAATTGGGCATGTGAGATTCGGAAAATTAATCGGTGCTGCCCATAGTGACTGCGTACTGCCATGAATCGAATGAAGGAAGAGCCAAAGGATCGAATCCTTTTTCGATCCAGCTCACAAATGGAATCAACAAAGGCTGTAATATCGTCATCATGATCTGACTGGAAGTTGTCATATGCCGGATTCAAGTGTTGGAGCAAAACCTGCCAGAATCGACCCCCCGTATGAATGAACACAGTACGAAGGATGTCATAATGGTTGACTAGCTTGCGGCAAGACCACTCCAACCTTGCGAAGTCGACATTTTCTGGAAGATCAAAGATCCAATGCGGCAATCGGCTTGGTGGGTCTTGGAAAGCATCTAAAATGGCACAGGTTTGGAAGTCGGTGCAAGGAAGCACGTCAATAACAGTCCCAGCCCCAGGGTCAAGGAGGGGATCAACAGATTGAGTGAGGAAGGCCTTCGGATCCTTCGTCTCGAGCAAAGCGAATGGTTGCACCAAGGGCAGAGAGTCCTCCACAGTCGTTTCCTGTACTAAAAGAGCGAGTTGAGAGAGCCGTGGTGCGCTGAAAATATCAGCGACTGTGAGCGAGAGCTTCTCATTTCGAGCCGCTGCCACTAGTCGCATAGCTGCGATGGACTCTCCACCAATTCTGAGGAAGTTGCTGTCGGCAGTGATAATGTTCGCATCCATTCCAAGAACCTCCGACCATAGTACTTGCAGTTTCTGTTCTATGACGGTGGTCGGCGCGCGACGGGGCTTCCCGTGGGACTGCAGTTTTGCCAGCGTCTCCAAACTCTGAGCGGCTCCCAACTGCCGTAGAGTTCTTCTATCTGTTTTGTCCGTGGTAGTCATTGGTATCTTGTCGATGGGGATGTAGGCGCCAGGAATCATGCTAGGAAAGAAGCAAGGTTAATAGCTGTCGCATTTATCCAGACCTATAAAAGTGAAGTCGAAATTGAGGAATACATACTATTGCGGTAGACAGTTGGAAAGTCGGTCCTCCAAACCGTCAATCAAGCGTGTCAGCGTCGATAAAGTGTGCTCCTCGGACCGCTCCTCTCCAAGGGATGAGAGGGCAACAAAGACGGCGAGAATGGGATTGCTGTTATTAGGGGTAATAATTTCTGCCGCAAGACCATCAATTAGATCAGGGTGGCGCAGATTAGCACGGATATGGTATTCTACTTCGGCCAGCTCAATTCGTTGGCCCCGAAGCTTGACCATACCATCCTTACGGCCGAGGAAATCTAGCGACCCATCAGAGTTGTATCGAAGTAGATCACCCGTCTTGTAGAGGGTCGCCTGACGGCCCGGGAAGCCAGGCGCGCCTTGCAACAGCCATGATGGATTTTGAATATACGCAGCGGCAGTTTTGTCAGAGTCATTAAAATATCCTCGACTGACCGTTGGACCCTCAATGAGAAGCTCTCCCACTGCGCCAATCGGGGCTAGACGATCGGGACAACCCGGTTGCACCAGCCATGTCCGGGCCCCATATGAGTACCCTACATGATTGTTGGGCCCATTAGGCTGGAGAATTGTGAACGTGAGAGCTTGTGCACACTCAGCTGGGCCGTAGATCCCAATAATGGCTTCGGCCTCTTTCCACCGAGCAATCTCGGTGGTGGGAATGGGCTCCCCCCCCATAGCCAAAGTTTTGAGCCCAGGCATACTCGATGGCGTCAAGGATCGCACCACTGAGGGGGTGAAGTAGGAATAGTTGCAGTTCATGCGGTTGAAGGCCCCCGCAATGTCATTTCGACGTTCCGACTCTCCAGGAATACAAAGACAACCTCCGCAGATCAATGTCTGAAGGGTATTAGACCACGAGACGTCGAAGCTATATGAGACAAAGTCAAATACGCGTGTGCCTGGTTGAATACGAAGCATCTCTGCCTGGTGTGTCGCAGCAGAGGCAAAATTTTGATGAGTAGTCACGACGCCTTTCGGCGTACCCGTGGAGCCGCTGGTAAATACCACTGATATTGAGTAAGAAGTTAGTACAGTCATTATAGGGACGGAAAAGAAAATCATGTAGAGACGCACCGTATAGCACATTGGATGGGTCAACTGTGGGCAAAGGCTGGGTGGGAATATTTTTAGCCACTGAATCCAGGTAACCTTGGTCAATAACCATGACCTCGGCATCAGATAGATGACCTGCTAATCCGGCAGTGCTGGCCGAGGCTAGGACAACCGGAGGATTGACTTGTCTGACAATTGACTGCAGTCGGGATTCTGGTTGAGTCGAGTCCATTGAGAGACACGCAGCACCTGACTTCATCACTCCAAGAGCTGCCACTGGGTGCCACATGGACTTCTCAAAGCAAAGCGGGATAACAGTACCAGGACCAACACCAAAAGCTATCAAGTGCGAGGCCAACTGGTTAGAAAGTTGATCCAGCTCGGAATATGACAAATGACCGTCCCAGGCGCAGATGGCGGGCTGGGGCCCATAGCTTTGAGCAGTTCTAGTAAATAGGCTGTGCACACATTCAGCAATTGCCGGCGGGACAGAAGAGTTCCAGTCCCATAGCTCTGCTAGATCGGCACCACTGAGAGTCTGAATGTGGTCGACAGGCTGTGTCGTGGCCATACATACTTGACGCAAGACGTGCTCAAATTGGGAGGCAATTCGTTCCATCTGTGCTGCATCCACTACCTTAGAATCAAAGCTGAACTCAAGGTGCAGACCATTCGTCTGCGTAAGCTGGCATATGATCATGATGGCATTTGGATTGGAGTCATCGAGGTCCTGAGTTGCAGAGACTAGCTCCCTCGGATTCTCGTAGGGGCCATTAGGATGATCGATAGACTGACTGTGGCTTGCAGGTTGAACAACGAGAAGAGTATTGAATCGGCTCCCGCGATCGGTGTTTGTGTCAATGCGCCGAATTGTGAGAAGCTCGGTCTGTTCGTAGGCAATCATGTCGATGGACTGCTTCTGGACATTAGTGAGGAGACTATCGACCGATTGTTGGAAGTCAAGTTTGACTCGAACTGGCACGGCGTTCATAAGAGGGGCAACCATGCGGTCCAAACCCTGGATAGGAGCTTGCCGGCCAGTAACCATGGCGCCGAAGACCACATCGTCCGAGTCCATGTACCTCGTGGCGAGGATGGCCCATGATGCACGGATGACTGTGATCATAAATACGTCAGTAACTCCCAGGAAAGATAGTAGTGTAATAAAAGCAAACAACATAACATACTGGTTGACGGAGTGACATCTCGCTGTGGCCACTGGAATTCCTCTAGACTGCGTCGTACTGTGCTATCTGCTTTAGGCTGATAATCCTCATGAGGCAATGCAGGGAAGGGTGTTGCCTCGAAATCTGCAAATTCACGACCCCAGAAGTCTTTTGCTTTCCCACCATCGACCTCCATTACATGCTTGATGAAAGCTTGGAATGATGCCACTGGGGTATCATCACGAAGGACACCATCATAAGCCTTCGATACCTCGTCGACGAGAAGGTTCAAAGAGTAACCATCATATATCGCATGATGCTGGGTTAGCAGACAATAACGCTCCTGGTTGCGTTCATCTTCCGCAATGGCAAGCCGAGTCAACGGGGTACCCAGACCCATGGGCCTGGTTTGATATTTTTGGAGATATTGCTGCAATGGTTGAGCAACGTCCCAGTGTAGCGGTTCATCCACAATGCCTTGCACGAGCCCCTCCGTTGAAGAGTTGACAATCCGTGAACGAAGGATGGGAGCAGAAGATCTGCTCACAATTTCCCAGGCATCCATGAGTCGTGACTCATCTACATCCTTCCTCAGTTTGAGCAAGAGTCGAGCGACATAAGAGTTGGCGCGTTTTGCGGTCATGGAGAGGAGCGACTTTTGAACACCAGTACAGGGGAATATATCTTCAACTTGGCTGACTTGAATGTGGCATTGGCTTGCGAAGTCATCCAAGATAATCTTTTGTTCCGAGGGGTGCTTTAGGAGAGAGAATGGGGTAATCACTTCCATCTCGTTGTGCTTTATCGTAACCAAGGCAGACATTGCTTGTGCCATATCTGACAACCGAGGCGTTGTGAGGATACTATGAACTGACAAACTCAGACCTTGCATACGGGCCAATGAAGCCAACCGCATCGCCGAAATTGAGTCACCACCCAGCCGAACGAAGCTACTTTCAATCCCAATTTTCTCGGCGGGTATACCGAGGACTTCAACCCATAAAGTTTGTAGGTGGCACTCGGAGGCAGTGCTCGGGGCCAATGTAGTTGTAGGGGCATCGCTGCGTGCCAGGAGTTCTAGAGTCAAACTGGAACCCATCTCGCGCAACTGGCGTCGGTCTGTCTTGCCACTCGTTGACATCGGCATAGATGGAGTTGCAATGTACGCCGCAGGGACCATGTAGGACGGAACCCTGCCCGGCAACTCAGCTTCGAGATAGGACAATAAGTCAGCCAACTGTGATTGATTGCAGTCGATAAAAACGGCGAGCATTGGCCGACCTGTGGCTATTGGCTTGATAACCTCGGCCACTGCCGTCGGCGCAGCTCCCGACGAAGATCGATCCATTAGACACTGCATGACATGATGCTCAACATCTGCTAGCTCGATGCGTTGGCCTCGCAGCTTGACTTGTGTGTCCTTTCGGCCCACGAACGCGAGATTTCCAGTGAGTGGATGATATTTGACAAGGTCGCCAGTCTTATACATACGACCACGCCGCCCCGGCACTGTTCCATCAGGGGATCCCAGACCTAGCCAGTATGGATTCTCAATAAAAGCAGCTGCTGTTTTCTCTTCGTTCTGGAAGTACCCCTGTCCCACTAGAGGTCCCTCGAGATACAGCTCACCTACCGTTCCGAGAGGTGCTAGTCGGTCTTGGTTTTGTGGGTCCACTACCCAGGTTAAAACTCCGATACCTTTGCCGATAGAGTGCACGGCAGGGGTTGTTGTCTTGGGAACTCGATGATAGAGGGTAATGGCAGAGCATTCCGAAGGTCCATATACCTCAAATGTGTTGACATGTGGAGACCATCGAGCGAGATCCTCTGGCAAGACGGCTTCACCCCCGAGGAAAAGATATCGCAGGGTAGGAGTACGTTGCGGATCTATCCACCGTGCAGTGGAGGGAGTTAAGAAAATGTGCGTGGTCTCAAATCGGCGCACGCTCTCGGTCAGATCGCTTTTCCGCTCTTCCTCACTAGGGATACATAGCGTGCCTCCGGCATTCCATACATGGAAGAGGCACCAGTATACTGCATCAAAAGAGTATGAGGAGAAATCGTATAAGCGTGTCGTTGGGTTCATTTCAAGGGTGGCTTGCTGGTGGATGACTGCACTGGTAAATTGTTGATGGTGCATGAGGCATCCTTTAGGGGTTCCGGTGCTACCACTTGTAAACACGGTGTATAGAAGATCATCTGGAGATACAATCGGCAGATTGTGACTTTCGGTGGTCCCGTTGACCTCGCCGTCAAAACAAGCGGATCCCTTCCCCAAGACAACTGGGTGAGACACCCATCTACCACAGCGCTGTTGCTGGGTGATTGATGACAAAATCACAGTGGGATTTATCTGTTGCAATATACCATCAAGACGAGAATCTGGTAGTAATGGATCCAGGAGAAGACTCGCGCCGCCGGCTTTCATAACACCGAGGACGGCGAGCATGGCGTACAAGCTTTTCTCAAAGCAAAGCGGCACAATCATGTTTCTTTTCACCCCCATGCCAACTAGGTAAGTTGCAAGCCTAGTTGACAGCCGATCTAACTCAGCATATGTTAAACTGCCATCCCACGCAGAAATGGCCACCGTGCTGGGCTGACGTTGCACAACCCTTTTGATCAGATCATGCATACATTGATCTATAGCGGCAGGCACCTCTTTATTCCAGGCCCAGATGGCGTTCAGATGAGTCTGTGTCATCATGTTTATATCTCCCACCGTAGTGTGTGATTTTTCCTGTGTACACATGCTTTGAAGGGCCCGATCCAGGTGCGCTGCCATGGTTTGAATGGTTTCTGACTGAACAATGGCCGAGTCATAGCAGAATTCGACCTTCAGCTTACCTGGCTCTAGGTTACACACTACTGATAGCGCATAAGAGCTGAAACTATGGTATCGGGTGGCCTCTTCCTGTTCAGCAGACTGTAAGACAAATAACCCAGTATCGTCCATAGCCTGCTCGGGTGGTTGGATGACGAGCAAAGTCTGGAAGCGACATGCCTCTTCTGCCTGCGTGCTGACTTGCCGGATATTCGACAATCCTGTTTGCTCATGAGCCACCATATCTCGCTCTTGATCCTGAATGGATTGAAGAAATTGTGAAATAGTGGCATCACTTTTGATCTGCACACGCACAGGAACTGTGGCAATGGTCGGACCTGCAATCCTCTCTGTGCCCTGAATGGGGGCTTTGCGGCCCATGACAACTGTGCCGAATACCACGTCAGATGAGATTGCATATTGGCCACATACGAGGCTGAATGCTCCACGGATGATGGTAGAAGGAGTGAACCCATCCGTTCGCCATTTAACGTTGTCGACTACAACAGTGTAGGTGGAATCTGTTCTTGGCTGGTAACTAGCCGAGGGCAGTAGTGGAAATTGCGAAGCTTCGCAGCTTTCAAATTGTGTTTTCCAAAACTTGACCCCGGCTTCCTCATTTTGACTGCAGACGTACTTGACGAAGGTCTGGAAGGGACATAGTCGAAGAGGTGTTTCCCCATAGTAAAGACTCTTCAGCGTGCCCATTATCATGGCTGAACTCGGCCCATCATATATCGAATGGTGCATAGTCAATGCAAAGTACCAGGGCGTTGGGCTGGAAGCACTAGTTGGTTCATTGGTCGACTTGCATGAAAACAACCCACAACGCATGAGAGGGGTTCCCAACCCCATTGGATGCTGACGATCCTGGTTCAGGTATTCCTCCACGCTCCCGGCCTTGCTCCAGGCAGTTTCCTCTCGGATCACGACTTGAACAAATCCCTGACCAGGAATATCGACGATTCGTGTGCGGAGGATAGGCACGGTGCGCACTAGCTCTTCCCAGGCGAGTTGGAAGCGGTGGACATCTGTCGAAGGGTCTAGCTCCTGCACATTGCGACCGGTGTAGTCCCCCCGGGACTTGATTGTCAAAGCTAGCAGACCTGTCTGGAGAGACGTGCAAGGAAATACATCTTCAATGTCGGCCTCATTGACATTACAAGCTGATGCCGCCTGGTGACGTGCAAGCTTCTCGTCTCGGCCAGGTGCCAACAGCGTAAAAGGCTCAATGCTGTCATCTGGTGCATCCTTGAGGTTCTGCAGTAGCCTGGCCATTTCCTCTAGGATAGGGAACTCCATCACCCCGGCAACAGTGAGCAACAGGCCGTGTTGATGTGCGGTACCCACCAATCGCATGGCATCAATGGAGTTGCCGACCTGCAGGAAACTGTCGGTAGCCGAGATTGTCTCCGCCTCTATCCCTAGAGTCAGAGCCCACAGCCGCGCCAACGTAATTTCAGCGGTCGTGACCGGTAGCCGTCCCGTGGATCTTTGATTGGATGGAGTGGAGGACGTAGCAATCTCAAGCAGCCGCCTCCGATCTCGTTTCCCGTTTGTAGTCAGAGGAACACTCGGAATCGCAATATACCATGAAGGCACAGCATAGCGAGGAAGAACCATCTGGAGTTTCTGGTTGAGTCCAATTGTTAATTGGTCGATGTCATCTTGGGTGACGATGAACCCAACGAGTATCATTCCACCTCCACCTGGGGGCGATATGGTATCGACGATGACTTCAGTGCGCTGGCCTGGACGATCGAGACATTGTTGGATTTGTGTCTCAACCTCCTTGGGCACCACCAGTTGACCAAGTACTTTGATTTGGGCATCCTTTCGCCCTACAAACACCAGATAGCCGTTGGCATCATATCGGGCCAAATCCCCTGTTCGATAGACACGGCCCTGCCTTCCTGGATGAGCAGTCCCAAAACCTCGAGAGAGGAATGTGGGGTTTTTGTAGAAGTGCTTATCTGTAAGGGATTCATTTCTGACATAGCCACTAGCGAGTGCAGGCCCTTGTACCACGATCTCGCCGATCGCACCGAATGGAACAAGTCTGTGGCGGTTTTGCGGATCTACGAGCCAGCAGCGGAACAAGTCAATGTGTGCAATTACACTGCTAAACCAATTGGGCTCGTCGGCCGGGTAGACGGTAACTGCAGGGAATTCGGCAGGGCCGTACCAATTGCGGACAGCACAGTGACCTTTCCACCTTTCGACGTCATCCTGCAACATGTTTTCACCCCCCATCACAATAGTGGAAAGCCCCGGGACGTCTTGTGGACGGAGCAACCGGGCGGTGGATGGAGTGATAAAGGCCCAGTTCGCCCTGAAATGATTAATTGCAACCGCGATACCATCGAGGCGTTGGGCTTCCGACGGAATACAGAGACAAGCCGTGTGAGTCAGTCCAATTATTGTTTCCAGGGTAGCGACATCGAAATCATATGATGAGAACTGGAACATGCGAGAAGAGGAAGTTACCGACAAACGCCGGGCGGGCTCCTCTGCATTTGCGGCCAGAGCTCGGTGGCTCCAAAGAACATGTTTTGGTTCACCGGTGCTGCCAGAGGATACCAGAACCGAGGCTGGGTCGTCCATCTCAAGGACTGGTAGGGGCGTGGTATCTTCTTCCAACGGGCTCTCCAGAATTTGCTCCATTGTAATACAGCGAGCGTACTTAGAAACCGTTGCCAAGCGCTCGGATGAAGCAAGAGCAACTTCGACGGTAAGATGCTGGAAGGTACGCCTCATTCTCTCCTCTGGCATGTCTGCTGATTGTAGCAAGGTTACTGCACCGGCTTTCCAGACGGCAACCTGAGCCAGTGGCATGTATCGAGTCTTGACAAAGCACAACGGCACAACCGACCCTCTTTTAACTCCCAGATGCTGAATTAACTTGCGTGCAACAACGGTAGAGAGTTGGTCTAGCTCGCCGTATGTGAACTGGCCGTCCCATGCATCAATGGCAATAGCCTCGGGGCTCGCTTTCGCACATAGAGTGATCTTGTCATGTACAAACACGGTTGGGTTTGGGGGTAGTTCTGCATTTTGGCCCCAAAAGCGCTCCAGGTCAAGCTCGCTAGCTGTCTGGATGGTATCCAGTGTGATCCTGTCGGGGGACTTTGTACATAACTGGCGAATGACTGTCACCAGCTGATAGACAATCCGTTCAATTTGCCGCTTGTCGATAATCTTTGGGTCAAAGCTCATTTGAATGTTAACCCCCGAGGTTGTAAGTTGGCAGATGACCATCAGGCCATAGACATTGAAAGGATCAATGCCCAGGGTGCTCAAACTTGAGGCAAAGCTGCGTGCCTTGAACAAATGGCTATCCTCATGCAGGCTGTTCCCTGTAGCTATTGGCTGGACCACTAGCAATGTCTGGAACAACCCGGAATTACGGTCTCCGTTGGCCCGTTGAATGTTTGGCAAGCCGTATTGCTCATAGGGCATGATATCCAGTCCCTGTCTTTGAAGACTTTGGAGGAATGTCTCGACTGTATTTTCCCAATCAATTGATACAGCAATTGGGATCGTTGCAATAGTTGGTGCTACGCAGTTCTCCATGCCCTTTATATTTGCCTGCCGTCCACTCACTGTCACTCCGAAGATGACATCGTTGGAAGCCACATACTGTGACGCGAGGATCGCCCACGCTGCACGAAGGATTGTGGATGGGGTTGCTCCCTTGGATGGCCAGTCCAGAGAAATCGGATGCTCCATGAAGTCACTAGCTTGTGGCTCATATGTTGTGGATGGAAGGACGGGGAACGAACGGAACTCAGCGCGAGACAGCTGGGCCTTCCAGAAATCGTCCGATTCCTGGGTACTGATCTGGCTCAAATGGCGAATGAAATGCTCCACTCCAGTAACTGTCCTTCCTGGCTGATCATAATACTGTGCCTGGAGTTCTTCGAGAATCATGGGCAGTGAGCTACCATCGTATAAGCAGTGCGAAATCGTGAAGATAAACGTGCGGTCGATAATAGCGGCACGACAGAGCTGGGTTCCTAGACCCATCGGCTCCAATTCATCTTCATGCAAGTACTGCTGGATGTTTTGACCAAATCTCCAGGGTATGTCATCAAGGACAACCTGCACAAGACCTTTACCGGGGAGATCGACGATTCGTGTCCGCATAATAGACAATTTGGCGATTGTCTTTTTCCAGGCATTTTCGAGTCGGTCTGGATTAATATCGCTTTGAAGCGGCAATACACTGCGAGATACATATTGCCCCTGTCTTCTGGCTCCAAGCGCCAGTAATCCCTCTTGAAGTGCTGTACAGGGGTAGACATCAAGAACTTGATCATGCGACACGGAACAGATTTGAGAAACATATGCTCGGCAGTGTGACTCGTCCACTCCCAGGGGTAAAAGGGAGAACGGGGGAATATCTTGCATATCAACATGACTTTCACCGTGAACCATTTTCTCAGCCATATTTTCTAGCTCCGGGAAATCGAATACATCAGCAACAGTGAGGGAAAGGCCCTGGGTCTGGGCAATTCCAACAAGGCGCATAGCGCTGATAGAGTCGCCTCCCAAGCGAAGGAAGTGGTCGGTCGCATAGATGACATCTGGCTCTACTCCCAGCACATGAGCCCACATTTGCTGCAATATCTTCTCGTTTTCTGTGGCCGCCTTTCTGGTTTGCTTTCGGGTCGGTTGCATTTCTGCTAGTTGCGCCAACGTGAGGGAACCTCCAATCTCGCGCAATCGTCGTCTATCTGTCTTTCCTGTCGGACCGATAGGAAGTTCACTGAGTGGTATGTAGACCCTGGGAATCATATAAGACGGCAGAATGCTGGCAAGATGGTTCTCCAGGGCATCGATCGGCCACGTATTTTGCATATATGCTTTGGGATCTGCGCGGTCAGCCTCATCAGCGGGACTAACGAAGAGGGCCAGAATATCGTTATCACCGCAAGCGGGGGAGAATATCTCTGCGACAAGCATTGTGTCCACTAGGCCTGTCAAGAATCCTTTGATGCACCGCTCTATCTCTCCTAGATCAATTCGCTGCCCTCGGATCTTTCGCTGGGAATCATGGAGGCGGCCAAGGTAGATGATACAACCATCCGAGTCATAGGCAACCAGATCCCCAGTACGATAGACTGGACCTGGTCGACCAGGGGTCTTCCAATGTCCATCTTGCAGCCACGATGGGGAAATAAAACTCTCTTTGTTCAACGCAGCGCCATTGGCTCCAGCATATTGAGCTAGCATGGAGCCCTCCATACACAACTCGGCCACTGCTCCCACTGGAGCCAGTAGGTTTGGGTCTTTCGGATCCACAAGCCACGCTAAACCGGCGCGACCTTGCCCGATCATACCTGGGCGCCAACTGTCATAATCCACAAGGCACGAAGTAGCCACCGAGGCTTCCGCTGGCCCGTACCAGTTATGAACAGTCTTTTGTGTATCTAGCCATCGAGTAGCAGTCTTGTACTCAAGCTTCTCGCCCGCAAATACCACGGTTTTTATAGATGGCAGATCACTCGGTCTCATGGTCTCTGACACAGATGGGGTCAAACACATCCAATTGGCGTTGTAACCGTTGATTGCGTCCGTCAATTGATTTTTTCGGTCCGTCTCCGACGGGATACACAAACAGGCTCCAGCAAGCAAGGTGGCGAGAGTCTCAACTGTGCTCACATCAAAATCGTAACCAGCAAACTGGAAGACTCGACTCGTATCGTCTAACCCAAATGCCACGAGTGCGGCTTGAACGTTAGTTGATAAGGCACTGTGACTCCACGCAATGGCCTTTGGTATTCCTGTAGACCCTGAAGTAAACAGGAGAAGAGCGGGATCACTGGGCTGGTGGCAATAAGGTGAATATTTGACAGCAACATCGCAGCCTTTCCAATCCGGGGCGATGATATCGGCGATACCGAGGACCGGCACCAACTCGTGGAATGGAGATGAATCGGACGACATGGAAGTAACGGCAATCTGTGGCTTCAAGCTCTCAACAATCTGCAGGGCTCGAGTTTTGGAGACAGGTACAGACATCGGCAGAACAATTGCACCAACTCGGAGGGCGGCAAGCATCATCACTGCCTGCCACGCACTTTTCTCAAAGGCCAGAATAACGATAGACCCAGGAGTTACACCTTCGTCGATAAGGCGACCAGCCAGCGTCACAGACCAGAGCTGCACCTGTTGGGCTGTTAGCTGCTGGTCCCACGCGGATATCAAGACTGCCTCTGGCTTCGCTTCGCTTCGCCGATGAAGGCCATCGGTGATAGATTCAAACTTGGGCTCCAGCTGCGCTGCGTTCCATGTCCAAATGTCAGCCAAGTCGTCCTTGGTGATAACACTTATATCTCGTAGCCTCATATGAGTACACTCATCCAAGCATAGCTGTCGCAGCACATGTTCGAATTGTACCATCATTCGCTCAACCTGTTTGGCTGAAATGGCTCCAGAATCAAAGTTGACCTTCAGTTCAACTCCGGACTCGTGCAATTGGCAGATAATCATCATCGCATACGGGTTGTACATGCCCACGGTGTCGGCTTCTCCATCCTTGCAGACGATTTTCAAACTGCCGGGCTGATCAGAGCTGTCAACAACACTACTCGCCCTGCTGAAGAGACCGTCGACCTCGTGGCTGCCTTTTTGCTGAGCCGGCTGGATCACTAGAAGCAGTTGGAAAAGGTTGGCTTCCTCAATCAATCCAGCAATTTGCTGCAGCCCTAGCTGCTCGTGCTCAGTGGCCTCCACTGCCTGTGATTGAACCTGTTCAAGCCAGCTCTCGACTGTTTGATTCCAGTCAAATCTAGCACGTACTGGTACGGTCGCAATTGTTGGCCCGGCAATTCGTTCGATCCCGGGCACGTTGGCCTGTCGCCCGCTGATCGTGGCACCGTATCTGACATCGTTAGAATTGGTATATGAGGCCAGTAACAGGGCCAAGGCAGCCCTTACGACTGACGATGGTGTAGTCCCCGATTGTGTCCATGACATTTCAGTGATGTTGTGATTCAAGTCAACCTTTTTCTCTGACCGATATCCCGGAGACGGGTAAGTCTTCGTTTCAGAACCCCCTTCCAGGTAGGTCTTCCAATAGAGAGACGACACTTCTTTCTCTATCCCGTTTGTGTATTTCACAAATGATCGGAAGGGCAGAATTTCTGAGGGGGTGACCTTCCCATTGTATTCGGCTTCGATGGCATCCAATATCAACTTTGTGGACCAACCGTCGAAGAGTGAATGGTGTATTTCCATGATAAGACTGGGGGACGCTCCAGAAATCAGGCCAGCACGACACAAAGGGACCCCCAATCCCATTTGAACGGAGGATTTGACGAAGTCGGTGACATTCTCGTATTGTTTCAACATGATGGGGGAGTCGACAACAACTTGGACCAGACCGTTGCTGGTCAGGTCAATGACCCGTGTTCGCAGGATTGATGCTTTCTGAACAGTACATAGCCACGCCTTTTCAAACTGGGGGAGATTCGTTCGGCTAGGAAGCTCAAATAGGGTGCGTGCAACGTTGTTTGTCTCGCTTCGAGCTGTGATAGATAGCATTCCCTGTTGGAGTGCAGTACATGGATATATATCTTCAACTTGAGTCACCTCGATATTGCAGTGCCCGGCGGCCTCCTCACGCATCCTTTGAATATCTGAAGAAGGGCCCATCAAAGAAAATGGGGTAATTCCTTCTACCTCAGAAAAGGTGGAATTTTCCTTGATAATGAGGGCAAGATCGCTCAGCACTGGACTCTTGAACACATCTGCAACTGTGACGGATAAATTGGCCTTCCGTGCTGCTGCGACCAACAGCATGGCTGCAACTGAGTCCCCGCCTAAGCGGAGGAAACTATCTGCGGTGCTAATTCTAGTCGACGGTATGTTTAATACGTCCGCCCAGAGCTCACGCAGCTGCTCCTCCCTCACAGTTGACGGGTCACGGTATTCTTGTACCGGTAGGATGGCTGACTGTAACTGTAGAAGCTCCTCTAAAGACAAACTACCTCCTATGTCTCGCAGTTGTCGCCGGTTTACTTTGCCTGTGGCGGCTACCGGTATCTCTTCAATGGGGAGATAGATGCTGGGGAGCATGAATGCTGGCAACACTCCATCTAGGTCATGCACAAGATTGTTCATCACGATCCTGACTGCCTCATGGTCCTGGTCCTTGGTATGCACGAATAATGCAAGCAGTGGAGTGTCGCTTCCCTGGGGAAGCACGATATCGGCAATAATCGTCAGTGCATCATTCATGCATGCACGCGCATGGTGCTCTACATCACCAATTTCAATCCTTTGACCTCTAATCTTTAATTGAGAGACATCTTTCCGCCCTAGAAACAGGATGTTTCCATCCGAGCGTGTCTTGACTAGGTCTCCAGTCCTGTATAGGCGACCTTGCCGTCCTGGGACACCAGGACTCCCAGACAAAAGCCATGGTGGGTTGTCAATGAACGCTTCACTGGTCTTTTCTTGATTGAAAAGATACCCTTGGCCAACCATAGGTCCCTCGAGGTACAGTTCTCCCGGTGTACCAGGAGAAACGAGCTGGCTGCTATCGTTGGGATTGACGATCCAGAGGCAAAACCCCACCCCTCTGCCAATATCCGGCCGGTCTTCATCGCAGCGGTTTAGCCGCGAGAAGGTACATTTCCAGGTACACTCAGTGGGACCGTATGTATTGAGCAGACGAACACGGTCAGCCCATTGAGTCACATTTTCTCGATACGGCATTTCTCCACTCAAAAGAACCGTTTGAAGTGTTGGTGGGATCGGACTAATCGTTCGCAGAACAGTGGGGGTGACATTGATTAGATTAGCTGCAAAGGCCGTGATCACGGCTGATAGGTTGTTCACCATATCTTGCTCGTTGGCAACGCACAGACAGCCACCTGCGCAAAGCGTATGAAGAACATTACTCCAGGCTACATCAAAGGAGTAAGGTGCAAAGTCAAACACTCGCGACTTAGGATGGAAGCCAAGAGCTGTACCCTGGTGATATACAGCACTTCTCACGTTGCTATGGCTAATACACGCTCCTTTGGGCTCGCCAGTAGTTCCACTATTTTGAAGGACTAGAGTTAGTACTCTTATTCACCGGGGGAACTGGGTAATGGATCTCTTACGAGGTGAAGGATATATAGACTGTGTCTTCTGGTGAAACCATGGGCAAATCAAGGTTGTGATGTTGTATGGTGCCCGCAATTTCCAGCATACTATCGTCGAGCTGAAGGATGGATGAATCGCACAAGCGAGAAACTCTGTCTCGAGTAGCTACACCACAGATCATTGTTTTTGGCTGCGCATGTTTGATAATAGATCGAAGTCTCGCATCTGGATGAGTGGAATCGAGGGCAATGGCTGCACATCCGGCTTTGATGATACCCAACATAGCGACACAGGTCCATCGTGACTTGGGGAAAAGAATAGTAACCGAAGATCTCGGTGGATTGCCCATCTCACAGAGATAATGAGCAACATGATCGCTCAAGGTGGATAGTTGAGCATAGGTAAAATCTCCATCCCACGCGCAAACAGCGAGGGCATCTGGTTGTCTTTGCGCTACCTCAGTAATCAAATCATGAACACAACCTGTGATGGATTCTGGGACAACAGTATTTTTTGCCCATATTTCATCGAGTTCTTGTGATGAAGGTGATCCAGCATCAGGTGCATCTGGCATTGATAGCCCGCTCTCCTCGTTCATGTTTGTCGCAACCATTTTGATGGGTTACCAAGATGCTTCTGGCGGAACTGTAGAAAAAGGTTGTCAGGGTTCTTAATTCTAAAATGCTCTCTGATCTCTCGTTATCAGCGATGACTAGCAATGATCCCCCCACCTTGTGGAGTCCATTCGATAGTGCGCGGTAATGCATGCGTATACAAGACCGGTTTAGAGTAATACAGTCAGAAATGGCCATTACGCTGATGTTTCATGTCTCATCCTTGTCGTCCGCATGGCCCCCCCGGGGCCGGGACCCTGAGGGCCCGCTTTAGTATTATGATCCACATACTGAATCGGGTGTCACAACATCTGACCATTACATTTGTATTTCTCTTTAGAGAACTATCAATCTGCAATATTACCTCGAAAAGTCGCTTCCTCCTTAGCACCTACTAGAAAAAGCCTGACATTTGGACTTCAGCAATTTCTAGTTCCTTATAACATCTATCTCTTTCAGCAATGTTTGACCAACTTGACTTTTCGCGATTCCACAGCGAGAACATCGACGAGCGAGATCAATTCTGCCGTGAGTTGATTTCGGGGTTCAGCAAGTCGGGTTGGGTTCGGTTAGTCAATCATGGTGTTCCTCCAGAGAGCATCGACCGGGCTTTTGAAATGGTGCGAACATTCCCTCAAGCTCCATCTGAAAATACTCATCGTCTTCCCAGAGTCGCAAATTCTTCGATCTTCCATTGGAGCAGAAGCTGAAGTCGCCTCATCCCCCTACGGCTCATCCCCATCGGGGTTTCAGTCCTGTTGGTCTGGAGAACATATCAATTGTGTCTAATTATCGCTCCTCGGCTACACAACCCTTACTTAGGGATATGAAGGTATACCTGTGACGGACTGTTGTATTTTATCTTTCCATAGTTAACCAGTTTTATCAGGAGTCTTACGACATTGGATCGGAACGGGATCCACTATACTCCAACATTTGGCCCCCGGAAGGAGTTCACGATGGTTTTCAAACTACAATGAGCTCATTCTTCTCCGTCTGTTACGAGGCCGAGTTGATTATCCTAGATGCTATTTCGATTGGCTTGGGATTGCCCATTCACTCTCTACGTGAACTCCACTCCGCACAGACCAATGAGCTGCGTCTCACCCACTACCCCGAAGTGGATCGGGCTGATTTTGCCAATGCCACTCGCATTGCGGCGCATACAGACTTTGGCACTATTACTCTATTGTTCCAAGACAATGTCGGGGGGCTAGGTAAGCAGTACTACCTTCCAAATTTGGATATCGAGCTAACCGAGTCCAAGAGATGGAACAGCCCCCCGGTAGTGGGGTCTTTGTTCCAGCCGACAATGCTGGCCCCCATGAGTGCATTGTCAATGTAGGTGATTGTCTCCAGATGTGGACAGGCCTGCATAGTGCCCGACACCGAGTGCACCTGGCAAAGAGTGAGAACCAGGGTAATACGGTTCCAGAACGCTTCTCGATTGCGTATTTCGCAAAGCCTGATCGTGAAGCCCTTCTTCGTCCTCTGCTGGATTCGCTGAACAACAGCAAACCAGTGCAAAAGTTCCTGACAGCCAACGAGTTTCAGCACATGCGTATCGAGGGCACCTACGCCTAAAAGTTTAGCTGCATGCATTCGCCATTCTAGGCCCAGGAAATATCTCCCAATATATATAGAGTGATATATGTGTGAACTTTCTATTGGATCAATCCCAATCTCACTCAGCTAGAACTCTACACAATGTAAGCGCGCCCAATCTATGTTGTAAGTAAAACTTCGCGATAGGTGTATTGTATGCAGTTTCATCACAGACAGTGGGGTTCTCTGCAGGATGCTTGGCGAGCTGATGGCGGGCTATATCCGACGGGGATCCGGCTAACACCTTTACTTGGCGCCAAATATGTACAGATCGCAGCACGACCCCTCCATCATCTGCAGGGTTTAGATGTACGTAGTGAATTTGAGAAATTTGGGGGTACTTGACCATAATCCTGGTAGGCGATCTCAATGGGCGCAAGTAGTTTAAACGATGGGTTTTCAGACCTGCTTCATTCATCTAAAAGCTCACCTTAGCAGTTGTCCCATTCCAAATACATCATGAACTGGCCTGAGATCTGTTGTAGGATCCTGCTATTTTGCTTGGCTGGGATCATTGGTTTCCTATTGCGACGAGTGTACTTCCATCCATTGTCAGGATTTCCGGGGCCGAAGCTAGTCGCTGCGTCCAGTTTCCAGCATTTTTACGCCGTGTGGACAGGGCGGGAAAAGACTTGGTATCAAGATCTACACCGCAAATATGGTTCGTAATACGGTCACATCTGATCCTGCTTTACATCGTCTAATTGATAAACAGGTCCGATCGTTCGCTGTGGTCCTAACCATCTGACATTCAATGATTTGGATCTAATTCCGGTAGTATACCATCGTCAGAGTGATAAGACAGACTATCCGCAAGACTTTACTTGTCCGGGTGCAGCCACCAACAAGGCTGGCTATCTTGAATATGCAGCAGCCAAACGGCAGTTTGGACAGGCAGTGAGTCGCGCCTTGTTGTTCCCCCGAACCCAGTCACTAATAAATACAGTTTTCGGTATCGCGGGTGCAGTTGTTTGAGGGTCTAGTGGATGAAAATCTCATCAAGTGGGTTTCCATTCTTAACGAGGAAAGCCACAAAAACCCCTCCATAGACTGGAGTACCTGGGTCAAGTAAGTGTCCTGTATCTGGCATGAAATGCTGGACTGGGAACTGACTGGGTCCAGATATTTTTCATTTGATGTCTATGTTCCAATGAGCGTGGGGGAGAGCTTTGGCTTCTTAGACCACAAGTCCGATGTGCGCAATATGTTGCAAAGCAGTTATCGTATCTTTCGGTACTGGACACTCAGTCGATATCGTCCCATTGCTTGGCTAGCAGGCCATACCTCTCTGGGGCGCCGTTTGTTTGTCAGTGGCCGCGATGACCCAACGGGCATGGGCATGTGGACTAACGTAGGTGCCTCTTTTATTTTATTATGACTAGCAGTTCTGAGCCTCGTCTAGGAAGTGCATGATATCACTCAAAGGCGCATGAAATCCTCCGCAACGCAGACAAAGCCACGCTGGGAACACTCCATGTTGGATCAATGGCTTGCAGCCAAATCCGCGGCAGGAGAGGGCATTCCCCTATCGGATATCGAGGACCAGCTAGTTTCTGACGTGTGAGTTGTCCCAAACCAAACAATCCTCTTTTTATGCGCACTAAATCTATTTGCACAGACTTGGTGGTCCCTATGCTCTCGCCACCACACTTAGCCATCTGGTGACCACGATGGCCAAACATCCCAAGGCAGTTCAGCGAGCTCAGAACGAAATCGATAACGCATTTTCCCAGCAGACACTTTCCACGCCGTCTCCCACCTACACAGAATGTTGCGCACTCCCCTTTGTTGATTCTTGTGTCCGGGAGGCCATGCGTATTACAGCGACGGCCTCTCCTAGATGGCGCTGCTCACCAGACAGGCCACTGCGTCTTCTAGACTGGAACGTCCCTCCGGGTACTGCGGTGGCTACCAGTCCCTTCACTATCTCCACTCATCCTCGGCTCTACGGTGACAATTCCGAAGAGTTTGTTCCCGAGCGGTGGCTTGAGGCGTCGGAGGAGCAGTTGCGAGTGTGGAATGCATATGATGCGCACTGGGGATTCGGCTATCGCAAGTGTCCCGGGCGACACATAGGTGTCTTGGTCCTCTATAAGGCTTTGGTTACTGTAAGTGTGCTATGAAGCCTGATAATATCTCTGCGGAGCTCTGCTAATACTCCTTTCTAAAAACAGCTCCTACGCAATTTCGATATCAAAGAGGGGAACTCACAATCGTCCCTAGTGATGGTGACACGACAACTCTAATCCGACAACCCCAGATAAAGGGTAGAAAAGACAGTGGAGAGACATTGGACTAGAGGGTCCATAACGAAAATGCCATACACGATATTTTACCAAATAGCCGTTTTAGAAATTCAACGCTAACTTAGATAAAATTCCATGTCTGACCATTTTTATTTAAATTATGCACCAAAGTGGATTACTGCGGCTGAGCTGAAATCTGAAAAATGTTTGTAAGTAACTAATACAGGTCTTTCTAGAATGTTAGTATGGTAGTCCACAGGCATATAATTTTCAGATTTTGAGCATTGGACAACAAGATCTGATCCATCTTTGAACTAGAAAATAAAATTCATATACTGTAATCTTAATATAGGTCCATAGACCTGTATAAATTGTATATAATATACTCAATTCCTTGCAATGTGCGGATTACGCACTCCCGAATCCTGTCATCTTTTAGTTTCATGCACGTTCCCGCCAGTTATAACCTTCCCATCTCAATTTCTACCCCTCCCACTGCCCCCGGGGCCAGATGCATCCTTTGATCTCGAAATTGATTGCGTGGGCATTATCAACGGTATTAGTCCGTGGATAAACGGAATCCGGTTATGGGGGGCCTTGTGATTGGAATGGAAATCGCCCCCAAGCTCCCAATTATGGTATTTTGTTCGATATACTCTGTACAGTAGGCAGCACTTTCAAACAGCTTGCCTACCTTGCTACTTTGTACCTCAATTACTTTAGTCTATGTTTCTATTTAGGCCTCATCATGCAGCTCCAGCTTCCGTATCGTGAATTGTTCTCGAGGCCCTCTATACGAGTTTCTTTATGTCAGGATCCTCTCGAGCACCCAGATGTCCATTCGTTTGAATGCCACTGTTGTCCAGACTTTTCAAAATGCGGCCCTGATAATCCGGGGGTGACTCGGACAGAGAAGATCGTCCCTTCTGTTCTCACGAGCTATCAAGAGGAAAGCTCAGACCCTCCCCTAGACAAAAACACTAAAGTATGCATTATCGGAGCTGGGGTAGCAGGCCTGTATCTCGCGCTTATTTTACAAGATTTGGAGATCCCAAATCTTTCTTGGGATATCCTCGAAGCCCATCGGGATCGTATTGGCGGCCGCATTTATACCCATCGCTTCTCTGAGGCCCACAATGATTACTATGATGTGGGAGCAATGCGGTTTCCGGATATACCCATCATGTCTCGGGTATTTGATCTCTTTCGCCGAATGGAAGTTCCATTGAAGGAATTCCATATGCGAGAGAGAAGCACGAAAACAAAGGGCTGTGATAACCCCAAGACCAGAGATAGCCCGTCTGCCAATCTTCTCGATCAATCTTTCGGCCCATATAAAAAGGTCATGCAAAGGGATTTCGTGCAGGGATTCCAACTCCTGATGCAAGCTGATGCAATGAGCACCCGCGAATACCTCCGAGGAAACCGCAACTCCGACTTCACGACAATCCAGGCTGCCGAGAGCAACACGACCGGCACCGGCACGTTTGACCAAGCCTTTTCAGAGAGCGTCATGGACTCTTTCGACCTGGATCAACACTTGACAGAGTCCGATGAGAGCGGGTCAGGCATAAAATGGTATTCTGTGGATGGCGGCTCTTCTGTGGTGATTGAGCGAATGTGCCACCAAATCAACAGAAATAGCACCATTGAGCTTGGGAAACAAGTTCGTCGCATTGCTCTCAATCGGAGCGCTAATCTGTCGGTATCATGTGCAGGCGAGGAGGAGGCTCGCGAAGGGTATGCGACGGTGTTCAGCACTGCCCCATTGGCATGCCTGCAGCGCATCGACACTGAGTCACTCCACCTTGATCCTATTCAAAAGGAGGCAATTCGGTGTTTGCGGTATGAAGACTCTACTAAGGTGGGTATCAAGTTCGCATACCCGTGGTGGATCGTAGACTGCGGGCTTCGAGGGGGCGGTAGTGCCTCATCGACCCTCCCTTCACGGACCTGTGTCTACCCATCGCATATTGCCGAGGAGGACTGGAACCAGCCAGCCGTACTGTTGGCCTCGTACACCTGGGGCCAAGATGCCACTCGCATGGGAGCTCTGATCAGTCCCTCTGATGGGGACGATGATGATCTTTTAAATCTTGTCCTCCGCGATCTCGCCCAGCAACATCGACAGTATGGAATCACATACGAGAAACTGCAAAGCCTCTACCGGGATCACCACGCCTTCTGCTGGGGCAATTCGCGCTTTTCGTCAGGGGCCTTTGCGCTTTTTGCCCCGGGGCAATTCACCAATCTCTATCCTTCCTTGTCCCTCCCAGCAGCCGATGGCAAGTTCCATATTGTAGGGGAGGCCGCTAGTGTCCATCACGGGTGGGTGATTGGCTCGTTGAACAGTGCATATGCGGCGGTCTATCGATTCTTGCTTCGATATGGACAGAAACGGGCCATTCAAAAGCTGGAGAAGAACTGGGGAACTGTGCATGAGCTGGATATTGCGGGAGTTGTTCGCCTTGATGCATCAATTTAATGATTATGTCCATCTCGGTTGATGCAAAAAAAAAAAAAAAAAAAAGTCTGCCGTCAATGCGGACGAACAAAACCACGAGGGGGATCATGGATTCTTCCGTGACCTGGAGCGAATGAAAAAAGGGGGAAACATGTACGACGATCTGTATAGACTCGACATGCTGCTGGCTGACAGTCATCAAGTAAAGCCGAAATGTTTGTAGAATTGAATCATTTGTCGCAACTAGAGTTGGTAGAGTTGTAAACACTCTGTTCATACCGTTGTTGAGGCTGGTACGTCAGGCGATTTGAACCTATGCTTTCTCTCTTTCGCTCTTGCGGAGCTGCCTCCCCTGCCTCGCTCGGTCCATGCGCTTTTTATTCCCCCTTTGTCTCACAGGTACTAACGATGTATCACGTCACCTTCGTATCCCCAACTTCCATCCGGGAATTGGTGTCCTTGTTCTGAGATCGGATGATTGTTCGTCTCATAGCTCCACTTCAAACATAACTGCAACCCCAATCCCACTACCCACGACGATACCTATGAGCGGCTCCAAGCCAATATACTTTGCAACACTGAAAGGAATCACCCGCAGATCATCATTCGTGGACCGAATCATCGGAGTAAAGTACCATGTGGAGGTGGCCCCAAGCCATAGCATAACCCATACTAGCCCAACAGCTCGCTTCCAAGCTGGCACGATTCCTGGTGATTGATTTGCCTCCACGTGCCCTTCATCTGGTGTTTGCACTCTCTTCCAAATGTGTTGCACGCCATCCTCAAACATTATCCCAAGGACAAACGCTAGATAGAATGGCATCGAGCCGGATATCTCCATCGGAATGCTCTGCAGAATATCTACGATAATGTGAAACATCGCAGAGACGAGAAAGACAATGAAAAGATTGGTATATCGTTCCAGGATTGAAGATCGGGTAAGATTCAAAGCATCTCGTGCAACGAAGTTGCCGATAGAAGTGAAGGGCTGGCGCATGAATTGATGCCAGAATTTCCTGAAAAAATGTGTCAATATAATTATGCACCCTAGTAAAGTCAATATTGCTGACCCCCAAAAGTTACGCAAGGTAAATGCATCAGCCATACTTCCAAAGGCTGGTGGCCAGTCTGCAGGTGAATCAAGCCCGATTCCGACAAAGAATATTGACAGTACTCGATATGCAAGATCACTGATTAGACGGTTTACCACGAACCAAATCGAGAGATGCGTAGCTATTCGCTCTGCCCATTGTCCCGCAGGTACAATCCATTCGACTTCCAAAGATGCGGGCCCCTGCAGAGTACGTTCCCTGGCCTGCTGAAGCGACACAGTTTGTACAATGTCCAACACCAAGCACTGCCATGTGACGATAGCTAGCTGTCGTAGCAAAAATCGACCCCGAGTTGGGACCTGCATACCCCTCCGCAGATAATATTTTGGGTGAGAGGGTACATTCTTCACCTGCCAGTGTGTATTGATCGCACGGGTTTGAGCAAGTAAACGAAATGCTGCGGTCAAACTAGATCCGAAGCTTTGAATAATCTTTGCACTTCGCAAGATGTCTGAGTTGGTCAGAGGATTGAGCAACAACAGATTCGTTGCCTGCAAAGTAGAAATGATAAGTTGTGTTATGGCCTGGCACCATGTGGGACTTCCAGACGAGCCAAAGGGACGGATAAATCGACTTGCGACCCATATCATCCCTGGAATGCACAGGTAGCGTAGGGGTGAGCTTTTCCGCGTGGTGATGATGAGGGTGGCAGGGACCACATTCTGAATCAGATAGAAACAGAAGAATTCCAATATGTTTGCACCTGTCGAGTGATAGAACCCATACATCACGTCGATGCCAGGTGCGAGAGGTGAAGTTTCGGTTTATGGGTATTCGAGGACCCACGTCAATTTATCTAATTCGGGCCCGAGATGACACTTCAATCCTACTCCGTACATTTTTCAAGATTCGCGCGCAAATAGGAATTTACGAAGAAGCGAACATGCGGGGACAGGGGACTTAAAAGCCAAGACCTTTTTACCCAAATTTGGATGTGTCAGATTGCTTATATCAGAAATTCAGAAGATTTTTTTTTTTTCATTTCCTCCTTTTCTAATACTCACCCATCCCGATGTTATTCACGGTTCTCTTTTTGTTTTTGGGAACTCTTGTCCTCTATGTCGCCAAAGTATTGTTGACACGGAGGCCCGGCCTGCCACCAGGTCCAAGGCCAACGCCACTTCTTGGCAACATATCTGATCTACCACCCTCAGGGACTCCAGATTGGATTCACTGGCTTAAATACAAAGAGGCCTACGGTTTGCTTTTATAACTGTTGTTTTCCTAAACACACGCTAACGCAATGAATTTCCAGGGCCGGTCAGCTCTATCACGGTAATGGGACAAACTATCGTCATATTGAATGACGCGAAATCGGCCATCGAACTCCTAGTGAGACGATCTGCAAATTACTCCTCGAGGCCAAGCCAAGTCTTTGTGTCCGAAATGTCAGTTTACATTGTTTGGAGCTGAACATTTAGCCCGCTGATAACCAATAGGGTGGGATGGGAATACTTTTTTGGACTGCTCAAATACTCCCCTCGATTGCGCTCCTATCGCAAGGCAACGCAACCATGCATTGGATCTGAGTCGGCCGTGGCCCAGTTTAATCCTCTGCAAGAGGTAGAAGCCCACCGATTTCTGTTTCGCGTTCTCGAAGATCAAACAAAGCTTATAAAGCATATTCAAACGTGAGTAGATAGCCCAGTTAGCTCTTTCAACTCTGAGGGCCTTGTATCTTATATTGTTATAGAGAGGCCGGTGCAATCATTCTTAAAATAGCATACGGGTATACTATTGAGCCTCACCAGCGGGATCCGTTAGTAGAGATTTCAAATCTGGCCCTTGATCATTTTTCCAAAGCCGCTACACCAGGTGTCTGGCTGGTTGATATAATTCCAGCTCGTATGTCTCTTCATCTTGCGCTAGTATCTGGGGTGGTATTAACTGAAAATAGTAAAACATGTCCCGTCCTGGCTTCCCGGAGCAGGTTTCAAGCGCACCGCTCAAGCCTGGAAGAAGAATCTTGTGACTGTCGCGGAAAAGCCATATGCATTCGTAAATCGGCAAATGGATGAAGATCGGCATCAGCCGTCTTATCTTTCCAACTTATTTAAAACAACAGGGCGCCCTTCACGCGGCTCGGAAGAAGAGTTTGTTGCAAAATGGACAGCTGCATCGCTTTACGCAGGTGGTGCTGATACCGTGAGATGCTTGACCCTTCCTTTCTAGTCTTTGGCTAATCTTATCTAGACTGTGTGTGCTATAGAAACATTTTTCCTTGCCATGACACTACATCCCGAGGCCCAACGCAAAGCACAAGATGAGATCGATAAGGTTTTGGGCCCTTGCCAGCTCCCAACAGCCGACGATCGATCCCGTTTGCCGTATATCGATGCTCTAGTGAAGGAAATTTTGCGATGGCAGCCAGTGGCACCAATGGGTCTTCCTCATGCGTCAAGTGAAGATGATACCTGGGGAGAATATTTCATCCCAAAGGGTTCATTGCTTTTACCTAACATCTGGTGAGTCTAGATCCCAATAATCCAATGACGCTCAGATTTATGATAGTCAACTGACACCTACTAAAGGGCTATGACGCATGATCCTACTGTTTATCATGACCCCATGCTGTTCAAACCAGAGCGCTTTTTGGGGATTGATGGACGTGAGCCGGAGTTCGATCCTCATGATCTTGTATTTGGATTTGGGCGTCGCATCTGTCCCGCGCGTATATTGGCCGATAACACATTGTATTTGAGTGCAGCACGATCGCTTGCGGTCTTCAATATCATGAAAGCCGTCGAAGATGGTAAGGAAGTTGATGTCCAACCAAACTTCCAGCCTGGGGTCATCGGTCATCCGGTACCATGGAAGTTTAACATCCAACCTCGCAGTGCGGATCATGAATCCCTCATTCGCTCAGTGGAACAAATACATCCATGGGAGGCGAGTAATGCACCAGACCTAGTGGATATTTAATTATAGGTCTCATTTGAAATGCGCATAATGTTTGGTTGACTACCTGCTTGATGTATGGCATGTGTACTGTCAACTCTCTTGACTTCTCTCGGTGGTTTTAATTTTTAAGGGTTAGGATGTGACTGTCTCGGCTGCGATGTTTCTCTGTAATAACATATCATATCTATAGCTTGATTTCTCGCCTAGCATTAGGATTCGTGGCTATAGCCAGATGATCAATATCCTTTGTGTTCAGCAACCCCGGATGTGCCTCTGAAACATTGGTAATTCCAACAAGTCTCATGGCAGTTTCCAGCTCGCTTTGTAAGACTAGAAAAGTTAGAAAATACAGATATTACGAGTTTAGGGGAATTCTTGAACATACTGTCGATCAAATGGACTATACCCTCTTCACCATAGTTGAGTGCATATAGAAACGGACGCCCAATAAGTATACCCTTGGCTCCTAGACAAAGAGCCTTGAGGATATCCGTCCCACGAGTTATGCCGCCGTCAATGTATACTTCAGTCTGTTGAAAAATGGATGGATCGTGATAACGTAGCTCCAACAGTGTCAAAAGTGACGGGGGTGATGTGTCCAGGTTTCTACCTCCGTGGTTGCTGGAGTAGGATCCTATTAGAATCTCAATTCAAGAAAGTTGAATGCAGACTCACCTCAGTACAATGCCTTGAGCCCCCAGTTGAGCGGCGATTTGTGCATCTTCGACGCATTGAATCCCCTTCAGTATCACCTTGCCTTTCCATACTTTCTTTAGCCATGGAAGATCCGCCCAACACAGCGAGCTATCAATAAAGCCGCCTGTGGTTCTGGTAAGTCCGCTTCCCGACTTGTCGTTTCTGGCCACTGTGCCAGTCATAGGCATTGAGATGACTTGCTCGGTGCGCACATGCTCATCTGCCTCCCGCTTTCCGGGGACGGGTGCATCTATTGTCACCATAATCGCGCGAATTCCCGCTGCCCAGACCCTTTTAAGAAGTGACTCAGTTACCAACCGGTCTTTATGAACGTATAACTGGAAGAATAAATTTGCCTTCGGGGCTGCGAGAACAATATCTTCCAATGAGTACGATGCAGTCGTCGCTATCTGTAGTTGAGTTAGTTAGTTGTGCTTTTGTAGTATGTTCGAGCGACATACACAGTGGATTATGTCCCTGGCAGCTGCAGCCCTCGCAATCCCTTGTTCTCCTGTCTCATGAGCGAGCTTGGCCATAGCAGCAGGTGCGACCATGATAGGCGAAGCAGTTTCGACTCCTTGAAACTGGCATCGGGTATTTACATTTGTAACATTTCGCATCAATCGAGGTCGGAACCATATCCTATTGTAGAATGACTGATTTGCTTCTTTTGAGATGAGATCGTTGGTCGCAGATGAATAGAATGCCCACGCCTTTTTTGAGAAGGTCTCTCTTGCGACTCTCTCGAAATCATGAGCGCTGAGTATGCTGGACAGAGGAGGCTTAGAGAGCTCCACAGCTCCTTGTGCAGGTTTTAAGGACAATCCACGGCCATGCTGTCGCCATGCTTCATTGATACTGTTGGGATCAAGGTCACCCACATGTTTAGTTGAGGGCAGCGTGCTCTCGATCAGGCCATCACTGTGGACCTGGTAGAATGAATGTGTTGCATCACGACCCGCAAATTGAAGAATGACTATATTGAGTCAGTAATTTCCAGTGAGCTCTGGTCTCATTTAAAATCGCATACCGTCAGAACCACCTGGGTGAACGCGTGCAAAATGTGTGAAATCCCACACTTTATTTCCCACCACTATCCAGCAGTCATCTTCCTCGCAGTGTCTGCTGATCTCTTGCACGGAAAGTAAATGATCTGCCATTTTGGTGGGGGATGTTCACGGGTTGGGAGCCTCAAGACCAAGCGCGTGTCAGATTTAACGAGAACATGGAAATCATATGCCCATGAGTTAGGTGGAAGTCAATAGTCAGCATTAAATGTGTGTGACATGGGAAAATGAGGCTTTCCTGGCCTTTTCCTCTTTCCACTAGGATTCTTGAGTGCTGGAGGAAATATGAATTTCTTGTCTTAGTGAATAATGCAGCCCCTGTCTGCAGCCTTTTTGGTAACCTTCATTTACCACTAGATTTGAGGAATATACTCATAACACTTAATCAATAAACCTTTAGTATGGCATATAATATAATTTGAGCTATCATGCGATATACAGAAACCTGAATGTCAGCAAAAAAAAAAAAAAAAATGACCAGAGCGAAAAGTCAAAAGACTAACCTCGGCACTCAAGTAAGGGGTTAAATTACATTTTCAGCTGTCTTTTCTTTCTTGAAAAACTTTTCATCATTTTATGATGCAAAAAGGTACAACTAGAGAATATGAAGATGAAGATCGTCAGATCCCTGATGATCATCTCGGGTTCCACTCCGAACCCTCTAGACTTGTTGTCATCATAATATGCACTACCTCAGTGTTGTTCATTGCCAGTGCAGTTAATGGCCTAGTCACCCTCAATATCACACATTTTTCATCTGAATTTGGATTGAACCGCGGTGTTGAAGTATGGTGAGATATATGCTATCTATGATATCTAGACATAAGCCAAAAGCTGACAATTTCGACAGGCCAATGTCAATCCACTATCTTGCTCAAGGCTGCACATTCTGGCTAGCAGGATCCTTAGTAGATGTCCTAGGTAGCAGGAGAGCATTTTTGTCTGGATGTTTTCTACAGACTCTTTGTCATCTGGCTAGCGGGTTGGCGCGGACTGGCGCGCAGCTAATTACTGTCAGATTTGTGTCCGGCGCGGCTTACCCAATGTGTTTTGTTTCTGCGATGAGCATTCACAGCGAGAATCTTCCCATCGGAAAATTACGCGATTTGGCATTTTCTTGTACGAGTACAACTCAATATATTGGCTCTGGGGTAGGCATCGTCCTTGGTGGAGTACTCTCAGAGACAGCTGGTTGGCGATGGGGGTTCCATTATGCCGCAGTTCTCAGCCTATTAGGGGTTCTCCTATCAATTTGGATGCTTCCTCAAAACTCCCATGAACCGAAACATATTTCATGGACAGAGCTGGCTGAAGAGATCGATTGGACTGGAACTCTGTTGGCCAGTTCATTGATGGCACTTCTATTTTCTGCATTGGCGTACGCATCCCCATCCAATACGGTCTATATTTTCAGACTGCTAATCAAATGATAACTAGTGTGATAACAAATAATGTGGCAAACATTAGCAGTTCAAGCCTATTTATTCCTCTTGCTCTTGGTTGGATCTTCCTTGTTGCTTTCCTATTCTTGCAGGATCGCTGGGAAAGAGACAGGGCACAGCACATTCAGAATTCTCTTTGGGCAAACCGCCATTTCCTTTCCATTGGGCTGGTTATTTTCTTTATCTATGCATCCTCAGCTTCAACTTCGCAGCTTATAATCTTCGTGTTCCAAAGAGCACAAGGGCATTCGGTTCTACAATCTTCTTGGCGATATCTGCCAATCCCAATCGCTGGTGCGCTGAGCAGTCTGCTCACTGGACATTTCTTATCTCGTGTTGAAGCCACCCAGATCCTCATTGCTACAATAATGCTCTCTAGTCTCTCCCCATTCTTGATGGCTACATTGAACCCAGCTTGGCCGTACTGGAGATGTGCAATGCCCGCCGTTTTATTAAACTCAGTGGCATCAAATTCTGCTATCCCAATTGCCACAATGATGGTAGTTAGGTATTTTTCTTCAGAGACTCAGGGATTTGCAATGTGTGTCCTATGCACTGTGGCAATGATTGGAGCCTCCGTGAGCATGGCGCTGACTGCACTTATTTCAAACGATGTCACCACACAGCTACTCCGGACCCCCGACCAAAGGAATCCTTTTCTCGAATCCCCAGAGACATGGATGAGTGGTTATCGGGCTGCATTCTGGTTCTTGTTCTCATTGAGCTTGGTCGGTTTGGCCGTCACACTTAGCTGCTTGCGAAAACTTGGATACTTGGGTCTGAGATTAGATGCAGGGTATTAATTTGTTCAATATGTATCTTCTTTCGTATTGAATTTTCATGTTTCTATTAGTAAATACGCTCTTTGATTTAAAGATGCCAAATGGTACCCAAGCCGGGAATTGCTTTCAATGAGAGATTGGCCACGAATCTGACAACTAGCGGCTACTACCTTCCCTATTGAATCAGTATAAAAGAACCAAAGCCATAGATAGGTACCGCTGTTCTCCCGCTTCAAGTATCCTTGAGTAACCATACATCGGCTAGTATTCATAAAATACCACAACGCAATCTTATAAGAGTGAGATGTGTATTCAACACTTACAAATAAACCAGTGAGTAGGAACAGTTTATTTGATTTGGACCCATGGAAAATTTGCGCGACAAAAAAAACAACATGGCACCTGCGAAACAGCCTATCCTCTTCCTCACAAGCCCCGAGCATGGGCAGTCCAACGTCGCACTTGCAGTGGCCGAAGAGTTTCTGCACCGTGGGGAATTTGAAGTCCACATCGTCTCCTTCAAGGAATTATCGGCTCGTGTACAAGCGATAAATGACAAAGTGGACTACGATCGAGTTATTCACTTTCATCCAATTGCAGGCCCGTCTCTGTCCGAGATCGTGACACGTACAACACCGGATATAAGTCACCTGCCAGGGCTTGCCGGAACACATGATGCATGTAACATAATCAACATCTCCGTGCTGGGATGGAAGCCTGACGAATATATACGGTCATATAGAAGCTGTCTGGAGACTTTGAAAGATGTTCGTCCGGTCGTCGTGGTTGCAGACCCGCTATTGCATCTAGGACTAGATGCTGCTCGCAGTATTGACGCGCGAATTGTGATACTTTGGCCTGTGCCATTGAAAGATGTGGTGGTAACCATCCAACCCAAAGCTGGCATATTTTGGAAATATCCCCTGTGAGCAACTCATATCTCCCAGGTGGAGCTTAAGGATCTCGCTGACTTGAACATTCAGCACCGGTTCAGGATATCCATACCCCTTACCATGGAGCCTGATTCTTGCAAATATATACATGGTATTTTGCTTCGCGTGTATGGTTCGCCTGGGCAAACCCATGCGCGATCTTTTGAACATTCGAAAGAAAGCCGGAATCCGGTCGGAATTTCCCCACGTCGCGCCTTACTGCGAAGACCATCTACACCTCTCGCCTGCATTTCGAGAGATAGATTATCCGTTATACGTCCCAGATAATGTCATCAGCTGCGGTCCGATCCTCCGGTCGCATTTATCCCTTGTAGAAAGTGATCCGGCACTGGATTCATGGTTGAAGGAACAAACGATTCTAATATGTCTTGGGTCACATGTTCAATCTCCAGAGAAAGATGCAATAGAGATGACGATGGCAATCCAAGGTGTTTTGCGTGAAGCTCCTAACATTCAGGTCTTGTGGAAGCTCAAATATGACTGGGAAAGCTCTCCAGTGGTCAAGAATATCCTGGAGCCTCTTGTCAATTCTGATAAAGTGAGGGTTGTACCATGGATCCAGCCAGAGATTATATCCATTTTGGAAGGCGGTAATATAGTTGCATATGTCCACCATGGAGGAGCGAACTCATTTTTCGAGGCGTGCAAGTAAGTTTTGCTGGGTTTCAGATATAGATGACAATAGAAGTGCTGATCCTCTTCCCAGGGCCGGTATTCCGCAGGTCATTCTGCCGCAGTGGTTCGACACGTACGATTGTCCGTCCCGAGTAGAGTGGCTAGGAATTGGATTACACGGAAGCCGCAATGTGGCACCGAAAATAAGTGGATCGGTGCTGTCTTCGGCCCTGCTGCGAGTTCTAACGGACAAAGGGATCCAGACACGAGCTAGGGCCATTGGAAATTTGTGCAAGAAGACCGAGGGACGCGTGTTTGCTCATGATCAGATCGTACAGTACGCCAAGGAAGAGTTGTGAGTGTTTGTAGATGCAGTAAATTCATTGGGTCATGGTTCCTTTTCTCAAGAGCTGGAAGCGTGTGGGCGTACATTTGGGAGAATGCCATGAGTAAGTCCAAGAGCAATCCGGTAAGATATTTCGCCCAAATTAATCAAGTAGAATTCATGCACTCGGTCAGATAGAGCATGAAAGAGGGAAGGGAAAAAAGCAGCAACTGCGATCCTCAACGCCCGTGCCCATATGGAAAAAGAAAGTTTCTACCTAGGTAGTGGCTGTGATTAGACAGTCGACAGCTCCATGAGAACTCGTCTGACGTCTTGCCGAGCTTGACTCAGATCCTCGTCAATAGTTCCGTTGGTATGCCTCGCCTTCACCTCATAGTGTAGCTCAACCAGCTCCTTTGCGCGACGAAGATCGGTCTCGTCATCTGCCGCGCTCTTATCTGCCAATATGCTACCAGATTCGGCTGAATCTGTGGATGTGATATTTTTGTGTACATTCACCAGTGCCAGGGCCTCGTTATGACCCTATGCCATGTTGTCAGAATTGCTATATTCCAAGACGCGGCTTGGACGCCTTTGTGGTAGTGGGACGGTCCAATAAAAGGAGCACGATACTTACGCAGACACGGAGGGAATTTATATCCGAGAGGATCTCTGCGACTTGCATGTTGATGGGGTCTATTGATGTTTAAGTGGAGAGGGACATTTGGTGTCAGAGCCATTGCAATGTCTTGGCGGGGAACCCGGCATTTGCAGATTCGCCTTCTTTCACTCTGGAACTTTGGTGGGAGAGATTGATATGGATGCTCTACTCAGGACTCCTTGAATTTTTTTATATTATTCATTTATATCAGTTTGTCGTCTCCTAAAGCTGTTCTCTGTAAGTCATAGAAGGAACACCAATCCAACCGGCTTTTCTTTTAAATCCTCAAATGATCATTTCACCATATATACTTCTAGTCTCTATCAAAATGTACAACCTTCAAAAGACAAATCTAAGTCTCCTTGAACTCATACCGCCCTTCCCGGTCCTGGACCTCAACCTCAATCCGTCCCTCCTCGATCTCCTTTCCATCAACCTCAATCGAAGCCCGCATAACATCACCCGCTTTGACCTGTCCAACGCCCTTGGGTGTACCGGTAAGCACAATATCACCCTTCTCCAGCGTCATCACGCGCGAGATCTGCGCTAGCTGCTGCGGGATGCGGTACAGCATTAAGCTGGTCGAGTCAGCCTGACGCTCGTTCTTGCCAACGCTGAGGCGCAGGAATGCGTCGTGCGGGTTGGGAATGCGCGATTTGGCGATCTCCTGCGAGATAGGGAGGAAAGTGTCGAAGCCCTTAGCGATAGACCAGGGAAGGCCCTTCTTTTTTGCCTCGTCTTGCACGTTGCGGCCTGTCATATCAATAGCAAGGATGTAGCCTGTTTACCGCAATGCGTTGTTTTATTAGCGACTTGCTAGTTCGAGTCCATATCCTTGGCCCACCGCTATAGTTTACAGTGCGGTATAACCATTCAGATCCGGATGTCATGCTCTACTCACTCTGAATCGCGTCCAATGCGGCCTTCTCATTGTTGGGGTCGAGATCACGCACGGTCTTTCCGATCACCAGACCCAGTTCGACCTCATAGTGCAGGCTGACGCCCTTAGGGCGGAGGACGGGACCCGAGCCAGGGGAGAGAATGGATGAGGGGGGCTTGAGGAAGAAGAATGGCTGCTTAGGGGCTGTATTGTTAAGCTCGGTAATGTGATCGCTGTATCAATCCATGCTGTTAGCAATTGTGGCCGACAGAGAAAGGCTGTCGGAACAGGGAAACGGGGCGCGAAGAGACAGGGAGACAGGGAGACTCACGCATAGTTACGGCCGATGCACATAACCTTGCGACAATTGGCGCGAATAGATGCCATTTTGAGCAAAATTGAATGCGATTGAGAAAGAAGAATAAAGGAAAGAAGGGGAATCGGAGTTTCGGGTGTTCTCCGAAAGATGCGGAGAACTCCATAACGGTCCGGGTTTCTGCCCCGACATTTCTACCCTTGTATCTTTACACTTTGGACTAATATGTCCAAGAATCTACAAAGAGGATAAGTATATATCTTGTGCCGGAGTATTCAATAGTGATCAAGTACTTACTCTTCAACATAACAACGTGGGGTACTATATCGTGGGGCTCACAATATATATTGTGCTCGATCTGACGAACTTTACACCTCTAATTCCATACTGAATAGGATTATTCACACAAAAGATTGAATACGATCTTAGTTTGATCCTTGACTTTGTAATTCAAGAATATATCAACAGCCCGGTATCCCAAGCCACATCGATCGGCTCGCTTGTCCGAGCATCGGAGCATGTTCCGAACAATCTAATATCTATAAACTATTCGCGACGATTGGGCTACCGAGGACAAATCTCCAAGGCTCAAGATGAAGGCTCGGCAGCTGTCGAAGGGCACAAATTGTGATTGTGGCTGTCTACTACACTTCCTAGAGTAAAAAACAATAGGAACTGAATTTAGAGTTATCTCACAAAGGGGGGGACGACAGTTACACTAGGTACTACATCTATTCAATAAACAGAATACGTATTTTAATATCGTTCAAGGACAACGCCCTGAGGAACAAGTCACATTTTGGCCCGGTCTATTGATTAAGTACGAGAAGAGGTAGCATCCTTAACCAAGAAGAGCGAGCTAGATACAGACGAGGAAAAACAAAGGGAAATGCGTAAAAAAGGATAAAACGGAGTAGCAAGAGGTGAACGCAAACATGTCTCATCTCCGTTAGTGCAAGACAAAGGAAACCATAGCAAGGGCCGGGAAAATGACCGGGGCGTCGACTTGTCGACTCAATATGCATAAGCATAGCCTCTGTCACTGACCCGGCACACTGCAGGCGGAAACGCAGAAAGCCACTTTTAACGCAGATTCTGCGATCATAAACCGCATCAAGACGTCAAGAGTTAGGGTGTTTAGATGAGGTCAGCCACGTTCATGGGCATCTCCTCAACCTGGGTGGAGTAGAACTGCTCGATCTCACGGAGCATGCGAACATCGTCAGCGGTGACGAAGTTAATAGCAACACCCTTACGACCGAAACGACCACCACGACCGATACGGTGAATGTAGTTCTCGCGGTTGGCGGGGAGATCGTAGTTGATGACCAGGGAAACCTGCTGGACATCGATACCACGGGCCAGAAGATCAGTGGCGATCAGAACACGGGAAGAACCGGAACGGAACTCCTTCATGATAACATCACGCTGACCCTGCTCCATATCACCGTGCATAGCGGAGACAGTGAAATCACGGGCAGTGAGTTTGTCGGTGAGCCAGTCGACCTTTCGGCGGGTGTTGCAGAAGATGACAGCCTGGGTAATGGTGACGGTCTCGTAGAGATCGGAGAGGGTATCGAGCTTCCACTCCTCCTTCTCAACAGCAATGTAGAACTGCTTAATACCCTCAAGGGTAAGCTCCTGCTTCTTGACAAGGATACGGACGGGGTCGCGCATGAACTTGGTGGTGACCTCAAGGACGTCCTGGGGCATGGTAGCGGAGAGCAGGGTGACCTGGGTAGACTGGGGGAGCAACTGGAAGATGTCGTAGATCTGCTCGGTGAATCCACGCTAAAAAAGAAAGAGTTAGAACCGATTTTGATATACATAATATCAACTAGAGTAACTTACCGAGAGCATCTCATCGGCCTCGTCGAGGATGAAGAGCTTCATGGCAGTGGTGGAGAGAACACGGCGCTGGATCATGTCGTGGACACGGCCAGGGGTACCGACAACGACCTGGGGACCGGCGCGGAGAGCGTTCATATCCTCACGGACGTTGGTACCACCGATACAGGCGTGGCAGTCAAGGGACATGAAGTCACCGATGGCAACAACGACCTTCTGGATCTGCTGAGCCAGCTCACGGGTGGGAGCAAGGATCAGGGCCTGGCAGGCCTTGACCTCGGGGTCGATCTTCTGCAAGGCGGAGATGGAGAAGGTAGCGGTCTTACCGGTACCGGACTGAGCCTGGGCGATAACATCGTTGCCTGACCTCACAGGTTAGGCGCAAAATTCAAAAAGTGGATTCGGAATGGAACAAAACTCACCCTTGATGATGGGCATGATGGCACGCTGCTGAATGGCGGAAGGACGCTCGAAACCGTAAGCGTAGACACCTGAAATCTCATTGTCAGTATTTTTTTTTCTGGACCCCCACCTGATAAGACTGAGTGGTACATACCGCGAAGAAGCTCGGGCTTCAGGTCCATAGCGTCGAAGGAGTCGGTAACCTCATCGTAGTTAGACTCGATCTGCCCTATTGATCAGAAAAATTTAATGTTAGCCTCCATCTTAACGTCTCTCCTATCCGCCACTCAAGACTGAATGCGATCGCGGGCGCGACTTCTAGTGAAAGCAAAGGAACGGATATTTGATAGAAAAGTAACGGGAATATGACACATACCCTCGGCAAGATCCTCAAGACCCTTGTCAGCCATATTTGCGTTTTGAGATTAAGGATCACAGGTGTTGGCTGTGATCGGTGTGGTGGGGTAGTTTTAGCGAACTTGTGGAGGTTCGCTGCGTGGGAAAGTTGACTTCTAGTACCTTAGACTCTTTATAAAAGAGTCTTTTTATAGGATACTAGGAAAGGTTGATAAAAGTGGTTGGATGTGAAATTCACAAATGGGGTGGGAAGAGGAAGAGAAGAAAAGCGAAAAAATCGAATGGCCACAACTGAGGCGCCATTTGCTACGCTTTTTTTTTTTTTACGGGGCATTATTTCACCGCTTACCTTATTAGGTTTGGCCAAGCCCAAGCGAGGTTAGAGTGGGCGAGATTGAACATGGAAAACAATCCTCTTGTTGATTGTATTTAATTTTTGAATTGATCTTGTGAATATCATTGAGATATTCAGTCTTTTTGACTCTCTCAGTTCAGTTTCTCTTGTTCCCCATTTACTTGGTGGACTACTTTCCAGTTGGGCTCAACGCTAAAAAGGAATCTTTGAAGCCCTAAAAGTGCCAATCTCAGATCATGCCTGACATCACATCGTTGCCGAGTCATCCAACATTACAGGATGCAGAGATAACAAGGGAGGCCATCCCCTCTCATCCACTGGGTGTAAAGCCAAGTGGAAATGCTCTGTTGGCTACCTGGAGTCTTCGAAATACCATAGGGACCTTTCAACATCTACCGGATGAACTAATTCTGTTATTGTTGGAGGGCTTCGATGGGCCGAGCCTGTTAAGAATTGGACGGACATGCAAGGCTTTCTATGCATTTACCCGGGCTGAAGAACTGTGGAAGGCGCTGTTTGTCCGGTAAGCTACAAGCCTGCATTGCATAACTATCCAGTTGAAATATGTAGATCCGAGTCATGTTTTGGTCCTGAGCCCAACACTTATCAATACAATAATGTCCTAATGCAAAAAGCCAATGATATCCATACTAAGTCTGGTTGCAGTGACCCAAGAGAAGATTTCACATGGCGAGGGACATGGCGGTCAACCTATCTCAACATCCCGGCCTCTAAGGTGCCCATGGTGGACTGTTCCCAACTATTCTCCGATTCCCTATACCGTCCCTTCAACTGCGCACACATCTCACTTGACCCATATGTCTCCAAGATCCCGGCGCGGAATCAGATCCCACGACTTCCAGACC